AGACGCCATTTGGCCCATTTTGGTTGCAAGTTGTTCATTATAATTAATTATTGCTAGTAGTAATGAAGCACCTTACTCAGCTGTTTCTTGAAAGACATCAGGGTATCAGTTTTAACTGAATTTCTTCCAGAATCCCCCACATTTTTTTTATTAAAAAGTGCCTCCTGTTCTGTTTTAAGTGCACCTTTGTGTAGTTTTACAAGAAGCATAGTGGTTTAAAAATGCACATGAGAAACAAGAGGCCCTCTTTTACGTCTCTCTTGCTTGTTTCTAGATATTGATGAATGTCTCGAGCAGAACATTCAGTGTGGAGCCAACAGAATGTGCTTTAACATGAGAGGGAGTTACCAGTGCATAGACACACCCTGTCCGCCAAACTACCAGAGGGATCCAGTCACAGGGTAGGTCATTTTTGGGTTCACTTAATATAAAAAAAGCCCAAAATGTGAGGTAAAATAGGGCTGCAAACAAAATTTAGTACGTCAAAAACGTACGTCAGTTCACATGACAGAATTATTGTTCATATTGTTGTTGAAGGAAGTAACTTTAAAATAACTGTGACGAACAAAACCGCAGAGCTAAATGCAGATGTTCCTCCCCTAGCCCACAGATGTGTATATTTATGCTTTGCCAAGATTAGAAGATGCATGGTCAAAAATTCAGTTTTCGGGATTGCGCTCCAATGTTTATTTGGTAGCCTAACTGATAAGATGAGAAAAATGAATAGCTCATTGCGTGGGAGCCTCAGAATTCTTGGAATATCTCAGAAGACATTGCCCTTCCGTGCTTAGATCTTTTTTCATCAGTTACGTAGATTAAATTCTTTGAGTACTTTTCTAATGAAACCCCCCTGCCTCTTTATCAACCCTCTGTGCTCTAGGTTTTGCCTCAAGAACTGTCCACTGAACGACCTGGAATGCACTCTAAGTCCATATGCACTGGAGTACAAGCTGCTGTCTCTGCCATTTGGAATTGCAGCAAACCAAGACTTGATCCGACTAGTTGCCTACACTCAGGATGGCGTTGTGCATCCCAGGACTACCTTCTTGGTGGTAGATGAGGATGCTACCCTCCCCTTTGCCATCCGGGATGAGAACCTGAAGGGCGTCGTGTTCACTGTCCGCCCACTGCGTGAGCCCCACACCTATAGGATGAAGGTTCGGGCCTTGTCTTACAGTGTAGATGGAGGGATTGAGTATCAGACTACTTTTATTGTGTACATTGCAGTGTCTGCATATCCATACTAGAGCACTTTAAGTGGGATGAGGTATGATACAGCCAGGGGAAAGGCATACCACTGGAAAACTAAGACTTTGTACACACAAGGCAACCTGATCTGGAAAACATCTATCCATGAGACAGCAGGACTTTGGAATGGTCATTGCATCGTGTCACAGGGTATGTGTGTTTACAATGAAAGGTATTTTAATAATGGAACTGATAGGGAAAGCATAGTTCCGCAATGTGTATTTCTGTTTCAGCTGTCTACGGTATTATACTAGTATTTCCACCCTGGCATTATAAAGGCAATGAAACATTTGCACACTGCTAATACTTTTGTCCCGCCACTGTCGTGTTCTTGCACAGAGGGAATCGGCCAGTACTTGCCTCGATCTGAAAGCACCCTTTCAGGTAAAACAAAGTAATGACTGCAAGAACTGGCAGTTATGTAGCAGTTATGTATTGAACAGCGCTTTAAAAATGTAGACGTCCCCCTTCTGACAGGCCTCTACTGATCACATTTATTAAAACGTTCTGCACTTCTCCATTACTATCAAGACATAAAATCTTTGAAATTCTGAAATCGTAGACATGCAGAAAAAAATGGAAACGTTGCAGTACCCTGTTCAATAAGAAAAAAAACTGGTCTGAGGGCCCTTTAAGTTCTTCAGCAGAAGTTCAAGATGTCATGGTGGAGTTTCCATTTAAGAGAAGGAGCCCCGTGGATGCCTGAGTGGCTCATCCAGCGCTCACTCCAAGCACAGGTTGAACTCAGTATTAAAGATGCTGCAGCTTCAGGCCTGGACAACGTTCCTGATTGTTAGTGACTGGAATTCCCCAAGAAGCAATGCACAACTGATCCGCTCCATTGGTGGCAAGAGTGGGATTAGTCCTCCACATCCCACTTGACACCAAGCAAAACGGCTAGCCCTGCGACTTCACCCTTTTTCCTGCAGTGACAACACTAGGGGGACACATCTCTACTACAAACAACACTGAACCTCCTACTACAAAGGTGCAGAGCCTGGGCAGGGGTTGGAGAGGACCTTGTCTACACTTCTTCATTCTTCCCCCATGGGTACAATGGCTGTAGCTGTGAGTCAAGGTGTAAATGGGACTAGTATAAAACACAATAATTGACAACTGTAAATTAAAAAAGACAGTGGTCAGGACGGCTGTTCAGAAAAGTAGCTGCTTGATGGACAACATTGATAACATCCAGTACTACCGGTCAACGATCTATTGGATCAGCAGCTTTTCAGGTTTATTTAGCTCAGTTACCAAGATGTATTCTATTTTTCTGATTTGTATATACATTTTTTTTTTACAGTAACCTGACAATCACATAAAATAAAGATTTCCACCCCATCAATTAAATATTTTTAATACTATTGGAAGCGGTGAGTTATTAATTCACAATGCAGTTTAATACATCTGACTTATTAAAAAAAAACTTTTTACTTGAGGCTACACTGAGACTAAATGCATTTTTTTTATTGATCCTGTGTCAAGAGATCACATCTTTTAGAGGTGGGAAGTTCAACTAATGAAAACAAAAGTATCAGGTAACGAGAAAAAAACATGTTGCAATTATATATTTGTTTTATTGTATCACAAAAGCACATACATAAAAAAGGAATATTTAATAAGGCAGTCTGTAAACCAGTTATGAAGATATATTTGCACTTGGTCACAAACAAGAGCAACCAACATTACTGTAACTAAACCTCATTATGATCCGTTTGTTTCATTGGTTTGTAAATAACATTCTATAAAACAATCTTAAAAAATTCTGTGAAATATTTTTTCTGGGAATTTTACATTAAGGTATGATTATCTCAAACTATGATACAGAACATAACTAGTAAAGAGCCCATGGATTCACAGCTAAACCCCTGTTTTCATATATTCATTAGTCTTAAGTGCTTGGCTAGACGTCTAAGCTAATTAACCCATTATAAAACTGATAACATCAAACTAACAAACAGTATCAGTCTTAAAACAGCAATTGAATTTGTAAAATAAAGTCTGGGAATCACCTTTTTCACCATAAAAGTAGAACCCTAACAGTTGGCATGATTACAATTTATTGCACTGTTCTATTCTAGATGTCCTTTTGAGGCAAATCATGTACAAAACTCACCGATTTATCAGAAAAACATGAAGAACGAAGAACTTGCTATAGTCCAATTTACTAGAGGAATTTTGGTCCAAAAGAATCTTGAGAGTTTTAAAGATGTTTTGCAGTACATTTGCTTTTGGCTAATATACATCAAGTACGGGAATACTGAATTTACAAAACACTTCATGTATATTTCACTTGAACTGAAGGGGGTTTGACCAGTCAGTTTACAGAACTGTAAAATCAGCTGTTGTGACACTCAACATTATTTAAATAGACTTTAAAAATGCTTGAATATCTAGATGAAAAAGAATGCCTTTGTTCTGACGTAATAAAACATTTGATAGCAGGCTGACGCAATACTTAAATTGTTACTTTACAATATCACCTATACTGAAGAGATTGGGATCATAGGGCACAGAAAGCGTGGTAGCTAAACATGAAAAAGTAAAAAAGCAAAGCGGGTAACTCATTAAAGATGTTTGGAAAAAAAAAAGATGAAAAACAATTCTCATTCTCATTAGGGTGACACATTTTTCAGATAGGGTAGGGAAAGGAAAGAATGATAAGCCAGATGCAGGTGAGTGTTTAATTTTTGTCATCCACAAGATCACAGCATTTCAAAGAACTATTGTGCAAAATCTGGCCTACTCTCATATGCTCTAAGAATTTCTAAAATCAGTCAGTGGTAATTGGTTTATTTGTTCTTAGAGTAATCCCTTTTTAAGGCAATACCAATAGATTTTGCAACAACAATTAACAACTAATTTCTTTGACAGCCTGTGAATTAAGATGTATACATGTGTGACTTCTCTGTCGCAGTGAGAGTTGCTTTTTTCAGGCATAGGAAGGGTTACTCTGTGGCAGAACTGATACTACAGCTTACACTGTATCTGAAGCTTTGACTCACACCCCTGACAGTGGAATGGCTAAGCAAAACATTAACAGACTTCCTAGGAAATGCAAATGTAATCCTCATTTGATAGCCAGTCTGCTATTAAGAAAAAATCCAACACCATCAAAGGAAGCTTGATATTTTTTTTTAACAATTCCTGAGATGTGGAAGCAGCCTTTCAGTTTACGCAAGATACACTAAACCAAAACAAACGAATCTCACTGAAATGTTAGCCGACTGACCGATATTCAGTTTTAAAAACAGGTACAATGTGATTTTCATACACAATGCAGCGCAGTCCTCATATAAAAGGCATTCGGGCAGTCAGCGAATGACAGCGGTGCGCGGGCCGTAATACAAAGCAGACGTCATGGTCTCAGCTGCCATGTTGACGAGTAAAAGAATGGAAAAGACATTAAGCACGCAAAGATTAAAGAAGAACCAAAAGGAAGGAGTACTCCACAGTGCCCTGTGAAACAACTCTTGGTTTTTGTACCAGCAAATCCCTCTGTAAAGCAGAGCTGTCCCGAGTCTCCATTAAACGGTTTTCCTGGCAGTTAACACTCGAACAATGGAGCCCACACCACCAGCAGATAAAGCCTAGAACAGAAACAGGGAAATCTTAAGGTCAAGCTAACCTTTGGGAGTTAATACCGAAATCCAACCGGCTTTTCAGTTGAACCCCACAAGTACTTGTTAAACCTGTTGTTGTGAAAGAATTCATCATAAAGAGTTTCCGGAAAACGGATGTTCGGAAACAGAGGGAAACAGGTGAGACAACAGGTACTAACCTTTTCATGCCACTGCAGCAACACCGCGCTGCTGTTTTCTGAGGGATTCTCAAAGCCCTTGTAGATGTACTTCATGAGGAGATCCACTCCATTCTTATCCAAGGACTGGACGGCTTTCTCTATGTCGCCGGTCTTGAACGCGCTCAGCACTTTAAGAACCAGGCCTTCCGCCCGATCCTGGAGACAACAGAATTAGAGATGAGGCTGCAACACTACCTCAGCCACAACGCCAACATGAACAAACACTGATTCATGACGAACTCATTTGATATAAAGTGCACGAGTGCCAAAACAAAATCGAACTGGGAAATGCGAGCCATTTTTGGTACGAAAAATACCAGTTTTGATAAAACCAAGGCAACTTGGTAAGAAACTGTAGTTATATCAGTGTTGGCAACCTTTTCTCTTAACTAGTTTCAATAACCTGACTAGGAATTTTCAAACGGAACATTATTGTCCCTTATTCTCTTATGCTTTAAAAGTTAAACTAATGGGCCTTCTCAAAGCAAATACAAGCAAAATACTTTCATGATCAAATTCTCAGGTCATAATGGTCAGGTCAGGGCATAATAACAAGAGGAGCCGCAAAAAATAAGAACTTGCCTTGACATTTTGGTTCTTTGTGTTGATTGGTGGGTTTTTAAGGACAGCTTGTAGGGCCCCCATCAGATTCCCTGTGCAGAAGGATGTGAAGGAAAAAATGCATGCACACAGCAGCAATACAATATCCCACCCTTAAAGATGTATAATATTTCCTGATGACAAATGTAAAAAAAACCAATTACACACGTTTTACTGTTAACGCATCCAATAGAATTGTATATTACTCAGTTGTCATTTTCGTTACTGTGTTACGTTAAACTAGGTGCGTGGAAAATATCTTTTTCAACGACAAACATTTTTTATTTATTTTTTTCCCTGTTGGAAAGGAAAATAAAGGAGGAGGAGACTGTGAATACATTAATATGTGGAATGCACGCTTCTATGGTGTTCATTCAATTACTGTTGGCTTTACTTTCTGTAAAGACTAGGCCTCAGCTACACTTTTGCAAATCATAACTGAAGCGCAGAAACAGGAACTAGTGTGGTAGAGAAATTACTGACATATATGGCATTAACACAACTTCCCATCGTGACGTATCAGTATCGCTATAGCTACTGGGACAATTCTTATAAACCTGGCGATAACATTATTTAGTGTACTTAATGCCGCATCTTCTAAATTGGGCAATAATTTCTCGTGTTTTTTTTTCTTGAGAGAAAGTCACACTGCGCTGCTCCCTGGAATGCAAGAATAAAATACCTTCAGCACAGACAAGCCCAGACATACTAAATTGCAGTGCTGTGCACAGGAGTAAACCTCTTTTGTGCTGCAATAGCTATATACAGCAAATTGTACAACTCACTTCTCAATCAACTGCTGAAATATTTAATTATATTCCAAAAATGGGGGCAACTGTACAGGGTTTATTTTATCACTCATATTCACCACCTTCCAAAATGATCACTGAGGCATTTTTCGCTTCTTCAAAACCCGTACAAAACGATCCCTAATGAAATAATATCTGACCATGTCAAGAAGCTGTGAGCTCGCTTTCACCAAACTTATAATTAGTGGTGAAAGAGATTGTAATGACAAAGATACAGGTCTGAAGCCAGCCCATTCTGAAATTACAGACAGGTAAAGCAACTGTGTAATGATAAATACCGATGTACCAATCTCTACATTCCCATACCGCGTAAATGATTAAACTGCATTTTCAAGACTCCCGTGTATCAGCCCGTGTATCGGCAAACTACAGCCATATGAAGAAGAGACAAGAAAGTGTTATGTATCGGCTTGCGTGCACAGACCTCGCCCTCGGGGAAATTTCACAAAAATTAAATTATTATTAAACATGGCCCATTTCTGCTGAAAGACTCAAGTGGCAGTCGAGGTCATACTAACGTCGTTGAAACAATAAAATGTAAATGCAAATACGATTCTCGCTTTGAAACGACTCAACCACGACTTGCGTGCCATTCATTCCCCAATTTGGTTTGAAAGTCGTACTTTGCTTTCCATTATTTCTACATCACCCCCCGCTTCCTACAGCTTTTTGCTCTGTTGTGCAGAACGTACCAGATAGGACACCTCAGTAATACGGTGCCAAAACACACGTAGAAAAAGAACGTAAAGTTCACAATGACTAACTCCCACCACACCCATGAAATTGCAAATCGGTGTGAGCTGCAGACAACTGACGGTGCACCGATCAAATCATTCCTAACTTCACAGCATGATTAAAACAGAAATTTACATTTGTAACCCGTGCAGCCAATCTGATTATATTTACAGTAAAAAAAAAATAAAACCCTTTTTTAAAGGATATTGTCTAATTAAAGAGTCCACTTCCCCTTCGTCGGGACCCAGCTGGTTCTCTCCACCATCCTCCTCGTCTACAAACTTGTTCTCGTCGTACTCGTCCACGTCTACCTTCCTGAAACGGTCGGACACGGTGTTTTTCGACATGGCGACTTGCGCTTCTTTGCAAAGTCTCAACTATCCTTCCACCCGCAGTGAAAACGCCGCACTAGCGTGAACGACAAACCCGGCCTTCAGCTGGTCTGATTTGGAGGAATCCTCACGGAGCTCCTGCTTCCTTCCTCTCAGTCAGCCATCCATTCACTTCCGCAATGCGGCGCCCTCTGCAGTTCTCTTAGGGAAGTGCACCACAGTACCTGTAACTGCTCAGAAGGTACAGTAGCAGCCAGTATCCCTCAAGCACGGAAGGCTGATTCCTAACTGATGATAAGTTTACAGGTTTTCCCGTCATTGCAAAGAGGTGTGAGTCTGGCCAGTACCTGGATGGGAGACCTCTTGGGAAAGCTAAGATTGCTCCTGGAAAAGGTGTTAGTGGGGCCAGTAAGGAGTGGTTACCCTGCGGCCTGTGTGAGTCCTATTATCCCAATATAGCAATTGGGACACTGTATTGGTTATTAAAAATCCCAGGGTGCTTTCAAAAAGCTTTTCCCCCCTTCCTCAACCATGGCCTCCTAATAATCCCCATCTATGAACCCGGTCCTTTATTCTGTTTCCTCCTCACTTGCTGGTGTGTGGTGAGCTTACTGGAGCACTAATGCTGCCGTCACGTCAGGTGGGGCTACACATTGGTGGTGGTGGAGGGGATCCCCATTATCTGTGAAGTGCTTTGAGCGGAGTGTCCACAGAAGCACTGTATAAGTGGAAAGAATTATTATTATTTTAAATCATCAGAACAAAAGACAACAGTTCAGTGGGCCTCCAGGACTGGTGAACTGCTGTTTTAGGGTCGGTTTGCCCAACCCCTGGAAGTATAGAATACTGCAGGATTTACAGGTCTGTTTAAATTGGCAGCACTGTAGTACCTGGGAACTGCTCCAATTAAGATAATAGTTCAATTGTGTTAAACCGATCTTGAATGAAATCCCAGAGTAGTTGCTCTCAATTCAGGCAAATTATAAATCTTACTGCCAGGATTCCCAATTCTGGTTGAGAAGGCCCAAACATCTGCTGGTTTTCACGCCAGCTGAGCTTAAGCCTTCCTGGATCTAAGAAACTGGTTGATTGGAACATTTGCAAGTATTTGTTTTTAACGAAAGAGCTTGGGATTTGATGAGGAAGTGCAATCGTTAAAAGGCTACCTCCAGTAGGTCGGACATCTGAATACAGTCACATCAAATTAATCCTTGTTATTAAAATTCAATGGTGTAACTGACAACTCGTCTTGAACAAAAACTGGCAGGTACTGTATATGGGTCTCTAGGATCTGGTTAGAGAATTCCATTACATATTCCACACATAAATACTAATATATGTGTTTTTCTAATAAGTTCCACTTGGTGTAGCTGTTGCTTAATAATACACGGACGCTTTAAAACTGCGCTATCTTTAAGGAAGTCATTCGACCTGAATCTGAACTTTATATGTATGTTGTCTGCTCACTTGTTGCATGCAATTATTTTAATTCACACGCTAGAGCAGATTTACTGGTGCTTTTGTGGGAAAAAACAGTCCCCGGATAATTAATATTAACAACAGGAACAAAACTGTAAAAAAAATTAAAAGTGCTAGCATAGAGTGAAACAAATTGCACTCTGACATTAAGATAGTAGCCTAACCCCCAGAAGATTTTATGAGTTAACATTGAATCGTCATACACTTGGAACAATCTCATTTTGACCACAGAAGCAAATAAAAGTGGGTAATCAAGGGAAATATTGGGGTAAAACCCACTGAAGCAAAGCAGGTGTGAGTCTGGCCAGTAACTGAATGGAAGGCCTCCTGGGAAAACTGAGCTTGCAGCTGGAAGAGGTGTTAGTGGGGCCAGCAGGGAGTCTCACCCTGGTTTCTGTGTGGGTCCTAATGCCCCTGTAGTGATATTGTAAAAAAGGCACTCTCCTTCAGATGAGACATAATGTGTTATCCCAGGCATCCTAGCCAAATTTCCCTGGCCTTTGCCAAATCATGGCCACCTAATAATCCCCATCTATGAATTGTGAATCAATTCACTACTCTGCTCTCCTCCCTAATGATAGCTGATGTATGGAGTGAACTGGTGCACACTGGCTGCCATCGCATCATCCAGGTGGGGGCTACACATCAGTGGTGGTGGAGGGGAGTCCCCATTACCTGTAAAGTGCTTTGAGTGGAGTGTCCAGAAGCATAAGGAAGTGTTGTTAATTATTGTTATTATTATTTAAAGTATTCGAGATCACAAAAAAGTATGTCCACACCCTGTAGGTCTTAATATCTACTGGAATTAATTGAACAAATTGACTTGCTAAAACTGTAAGGTATGTAGAAATTAAGGATTAAAATGGTGACCTACAGTATGACCATGAGCTCAGGCTCGGTCTGCCTGGCTCTGATGCCTTCTTCCACTTTTTGTGGTCTATGAATCACAAGCATTTTGTTTATGCTGACGTTTTGCAACCAAACCTAAAAGAAGAAGTCTCTTCCTCCTTCTTTTTTAACATTTTTTTTTACCCTGAATGGAGGCATCTAAAACACAGCAAAAATACTACCAGAAAAAAAACACATTTCTTTGCGATTCTGTGTCACGCTTATGTCACACACTACAACAGGGCAAAAAAAAACGGATCCTTTTATAAAAGAAGTGGTGAAGTGCCTTAGAAGTGCCTTATTATGCTTCTCTTCTCTCACATGTGGAAGCTGAGTGACTGAAGAGCTTTCACCCACAACATGCAATTGTGTGAAGATTTTGAACATGAGTCTTATGCAAACCGCAATATTCAATCTTCCCAGTGTTAAGAAAAAGGTCTGAAGAAAATAACCTCAAACTACCATACACACATTTACAGAGCTTCTACCACATGTGTTGTTAAGCTTGTGGTTCAGTTTGCATATTTGTATGCAAACCTGGGCATACTGTAACTCCACTCTTTAGGAACAACAGTGTGCCTGTTTCCATGCACTGAACTTTGTATAATGAAACATTCTTTCCTGTTTATCACTGAGGAGCCTACAAGCAAAGGATAACATTTCACTAACATAAATTCTAAATAATCTCACCATAACCTCCATAAGCATCAAAATAAAGGAATGACTTTGTCTATGAAAGCATCTCTGTATCTATAAAATCAAAATCTTCAAAGAAATCTTTGATTTATGTGACTTTCAGCTGTAGGAAAAGCAGTATTTTTTTTGACAGAAGTAACATTACATCAGCACACGTGTTTTTTTAGATGACGTTTGTGCAGGAGAAACTGAAATACAGTACTACTTTCTCTTAGGATGTATTAATTGCAAATTAGAACGGACAGCACAAATCTTATAAAATACCTTTACCTTTACTTTTTTAATTTTTGGATTAAACGTAATATGAAAATTAAATTAACAAAAAAATAATAATACAGACAATGCAATGCAACGTTTAGCTACCAAATCAATGGCAGTTTTTTCGAACAGGATTTGTCCAAAAAGAGTCCATTAAAATTTTTCTTTGTCGTGCGAACCGATTTTGGCTTTGAAATTTGAATTTACATACGACGAATCTACAAAATAAGGGTGAAGAATATGCAATAGCGATTGTTTCGTTTTCTGTAGTGAAAAAAACATGCAGCGAGCGGTGAGACTAGAGGAAAGATAATGCAGTGTCTGTGTCGGAGGCAGTTATCCAATAAAGCCCTTGTATAAGGCGTCGAGTGAAGATTGTACCGAGACTCTTTGCAGTTGCACAACATTTGTAAGCAACTTAATAACGCCTTGCTTTTAGACATTAATGTTTTTGACACTCTGGATTGTTGACAATTTTGGTAATGGTTTTTAAGGCAGTAAAATTAGGTCTATATCGTGGATGGTACTGCAAACGCACTACACTCGAGTTCTTAAGTGATAGTACGCATGCGCACACGTGGCAGCTTCCAGGGGACCGAGCAGCTGTAGGGAGATGAAGACTTTGAAAGAAAGTCTTCAACTAATTCTTGACGTTGACTGAGAGATTTATTTAAGTTCTTATGTATGAATCCGATAGCTTTAAAATAGTTACTATATTGACTTTTTTGTTACTAGTATTAAAAATCTGTATATTAAATCAACTGGCGTCTTAATGCTGTAAATTGGAACAAGTAGACGAAATTGTTCAGAGGTAGCTGGTGAACACCTCGTTTTTTGACTCTGTGGTTGGACTGAGCATTGTTCACTTCGGAATAAAACTCCAGTACTCTTTTATCTGAATATTAAAGTTGCAATTGTGTTATAGAGGCCTCTGTAGGCATTAAGAGTTTAATGCTTAGTAACAGTCTGGGGTTTTCTGGGTGGCCAGAATTTTAGGCCTCTGAAGCGCTTTGTGAATACTGTACATAGAGTAACTTGCGTGTTGTAGGTTTTGTTGTGTGTAGTGTAGTTTGTGTCTCGTCATTGTAATACATATTTGTTTAACCAAGTGTGTCTGGATTATTACTCTTCTAAACTAAGATATGCCAGAGAATAAATAATTAACGCACCTCTAATTATACCAGCCGCTCTGGTATATTCTAGAGAAATTATTCTTGAATAATTTTACTTATTGGCTAAACCACTCGGTCAAATCTTGATTTTACAGTGCAAAAGGTGCTTCCAGTTTTCAGTTATTAAATGCACATCCCCATTATTTCCACTTGAATCCTGCAGTTCATGTTTCACTTTTAGGGTGGCTTTGTCATTACCTTTGATTTTTTTTAGTACTAAATCAGATACCTTGCTGTCCTCCTTAGTCAAGGCTTAAAAAAATAATGTGTCAATGTAGGGCATTCCTTTAAGCCTGTAAGGTATCTGGGGAAGGTGTTGAATGAAAACTAATCTAATGTTTCACTCTGTAATTTCTCTGTGTTACAATAGGCCATCATAGCCATTATGGTGAGAAAATGGATAACCCAAACAACTGTTTCTTCATTGTAAACATGAAACCAGTTTCTAGGAAAGTGATCCCCAGTGACAGAATCGAACAGGACTCATCTGGTACAGGTGAAAGGTAAGTTTTAAATGATGCATGGCATAGCTAAGAGGCCTTTGCATCACTATGCAATATACAGTACACCCACTGCTCAATTTGTACATGGTACAGATAATCATTTAACTAGTTTAACTATTTTGTCTTTAATTTATACATACATGAACACTTAAATGAGGATGCAAGAAAGGATGTGGGATTCTTTTAGCCTACTGTAGTGTAGTTTAAATGCATTGATTGCCAAGAAGACTTTTCTTCAAACACACATAAAAGTTAAGTACACGAATTGAGAGACAGGGAGTCGATTAACTTTCATGTCTAGACAGCATGTATCAGCCCATGACAACAAATGAGAAAGTGACTCAAAGGCTAAAAACAAATTGTGCGTTCGTTCCAGTCTGACCTGTTACATATAAATGCAGAAACTCATACCATTAGTTTACATTTCTCTTAGTGGTGTAAGAAACTATTACTCATTCAACACAGTATAGGTAAAAAATCGTGTACGTGTATGTCTGTCCTGCCATGATGCACTAGATGATGTCACAGAAACTATGAGTAGAAGCTAATACAACCAGTGTGCAAAATACCTAATAGTACATCTTTTGTTCCCCGATAGATAAGTTCTGGGGTTTATGGCAGGCATGCTCAAAAGTCTTTGGTTGAAATCCTGTTTTAAGTCAGTATTCTGTGAGTGGGACTGAGTGGAACCTTATCATGCTTAGGTATTACATCGAAACTGTGGTATGTCGATGTGGTGTTTCTCGGAAAGAGCTGTGAGAAATAGATAACATTCCTGTACTGGCTAGCAGAGGAAGCTCTTTGGATCAGTGAGATTAAGCCCTTTTCCTTTTATCAACATAACACAAGCAGAAATGGAATTGTTTTCCAAAATACATCCCCATAAACTGGGAATAAAAGTGCTCAGTCTCACTGAGGCAAAAGACTGATGTGAGCAGGGACAGCTGTATTGCAGTGGGTACCCTCCTTGTTAAGCTATTCCAATTTTTGTGTCATGTTGGAGCATTTCCAGTCAGGGTTCTAATGTTTTTAAATCTCTTTTATGTTTTTATACATTTATTCCATAAAACTTCATCTGCAGTTCATAACTTCAGAATTTTCTTGCTCACGTTTATAAGAGTAAGAAACAGATTGAATGCAAAGAATGCATCAGACTAGATTCCTGCAGTGAACATTACATGAGAGGGTAACATTTTTGAATGTATTCAATAAAGTACTTCTGTTTTCACAGTTCCTAACCAGTAAATCATTGTAACCCATGCTTTTCCCTAATGATGTGTTCATTCATAGTCCACCTGATAAGCCAAAACATCTGTTGCAATGAACAGTTGCCATGAATGAGCCACCTCAATGTTTAATCAGTAGAGTTACTTACACAAGGTTAAGCCAATAACGACTGTGAATTTATGAATGATCACAGAAGTTTGAGCATTGTTCCCTAGCATAGCCACATATTTGGCACCATCTGTAATGGGAGCTGGTCCAGGCTCCTGGGAAGCGTAGTTCTGGACCCTATGCAGACAGTATAATCCGGAAGGAAGTGGAAAAGGACGACAGGGAGGAGATGGCAAGGATCAGGAGGGGTTGACAGACAGGGGCACGTGACAATGGTGACCTGGTGCTTGGGGGGCGTGACCAAGGCAAACTAGTCCAAGGAGTCCAAGGGGAAATCTAGGGTGAAGTCAAAAAGTCCAAATCCGGGTGATCCAATTGAGACAGGACAAAACAGTTAAAAGCTGGAACTTGATCCGGTACATGGACATGGAATAAAACTGGATGATGAGGGAAGGCACTCTGAGCCCCGGACTCAGCGGGGTCAGGACGCCGATAGGAGGCCTAAGCCCACAAGCTGTGTACGTAGGGGGACTTGATGGTAGGCGGGCCTCTGGGCATCCATCTTCCAATGAAGAGCCCAGAGTAGCGAGAGGGCCAGGCTTAATAAGGAGAGGAAGGTGCACGTAATTAGAAAAAATAAGAATGAGCCGGAGTACCCTTAAGAAGAGGGATTACGATTGTGAAACCATCGCTCATAAGATTACGGATGCCCTCAAAAGAAAATATGTTGCTTGTCCTGATTGTCCCCTCTTGGTCAATGTAGGCCTCCTTGTCATCACTGTTGTTCTGACCCCATGACAGTTACCTTCACTGCACAACAGATGATAATGCTGCAAGATACAAACTGTGAAGTGGAATAACAGTGCAAAACCAGGTTCTGCAATGCACTGCACCTTTTCCCTTGCCATTGACATGCTGCAGTGCAGCTCCTGCTGCTTTCTGTTATCAGAGGAGACTGTGGCATCTTTCCAAATGATAATGTCTGTGCGCATCATTTTGTGAAAACTTAAATTTGTGGTGTGAGGACTGCAGCATGTGCTGTAAGATGAGTGAAACACAAACTATAGAATAAGAATGGAACCTACTGTACCTCTACCTTTAGAATTTAAAACTGTGAACAGGAGGTACTTCTTTACCCAAAGGATTGTGGGAGTCAGGACTAAACTACATAACCATGCTGATCAATGCAAAACCCTGGCATCTTTCAAGAAACAGCTGGATGAGATCTTCCAATCAGTTAGCTACTAGCTACCAAATTTGCTAGATGGGCTTTTTCGTTTGTTCCTGGCTTACTGTATGTTCTTATAAGTAGTTCAGGTGGGTAGCTGCATCAGCATTCGTAGGCTGCAAAGGAACAAGTAATAGGTTTATTCCATGCTGAAAAAAAAGAAGAAAAAACACAACGTTTTGGCCGTGGAGCCTTCTTCAGGTGTGAGAAAGATGGGGCAGTAAGCAAAGGTAATTACCTTTCTTTAATCATATTATTTTGCTTACTGCCCTGTCTTTCTCACACTTGAAGAAGGCTCCATGGCCGAAAAGTTGTTTTCTTTCTTCTCTTTTCGGGATGGAATAAACCTATTATATGTTTTTATAAGACATAAGATTTAACCTTTTTGACACAAACATAATAGTCATGCACATTGGATTATAAGGTAGAAAACCAATAAGTGTATTGAGATTCCTGTGGCATTTAGACAGCAGGATTATAATTGAAGTATGTTTTTTTTTTAATTCAGCAGTTACAAAAACTTTCATTGTTGATACACTGTTAATCACTGATTTTATCACAATTCTTTACATGTTTAAACCGCACATTCATTTTAAGGTAATCTTGAGTTATATTAATTTACAAAGTTAACAATAAGAGATTCACTGTTGTATTAAAACATTTAATATTTAATATATAAATATGATAGAAGAGGCTAGTTTGTATATGTACGTATATAGTGATACCAGTAAATTCAGATAAGTAATGCACATGAAAGATGTAAACGTTAAATACTTGGAACTAAATACAGATTTCATAAAGAACAAAAATATATCACCAGTTTGAAAACTATTTTCTTTTTTTTCTGCTATTTCTTCTTCTAATTATATGACTTCAATGTGTAACTGGCCTAAACTCATACACTTAAACCTGGGCTATGTTTGTGTAAATGTTATAGGATGGTGTTATCCAATATTACCTAAAAAAAATGAAGTCTACAACCAGAACATATAAAACCACTGAAGACACTTTCTCTCTGTGAATTTAGTAACATAAATACAAGAAACACTTGTCATAAACTCAAGAGCACAAACACAGCAATTTTGTGTTCAGCTGATAAAATGTCCTGTGTTGTACTCATTCTTACTGTGTAGCAGGGCTGTTGGTAATCTTATGTAATCTTGGGGTCAAATAATGCTTTCTTTTCCTGAGTGCCAAAATCTGGCAATTGCACAATCTGTAAATATTAGATATTAGGTTTGACTTCACTGTGCATACAGTATGTCGCAATACATAACTTAATATTGAAAAAGGCAGGAAAAAATGGACAGTGCTTCACCCTTGACCATCAGGTTGCTACGCAATTCCTTAGATCTGTTGCAGAACAAGATTAAAAGCACATGGTCATGATACATGGTGATTCATGGACTCGAAACTTTAAGACAAATTCCTCCCAACTGGCATTTACACAACGCAAACAATGTCAGAGGAAATAACTTTCTTTAAAAGGATGTATAAACTAATGAAGCCTGAAATAACAGTTTATAGAAAAAAATACAAATAACGTAAAGGAATTATTTCTGCAATAACATTTCCTACATCCCACATCTATTTTGCTACACATACAGTAACTAATTATAAATAATGCATTTAGTAGTTTGTTTACAGCATGTATAAGGCATAAGGTATGTTTTTGAATTGCAAAATGTCCCCAAACCAGGTTGGGCCGTATGTTTAACTGTAACAAAAGATAAAATATAATGTTACAATGGGTTTACAGTTACAGAAAATGGGTAACATTCAAAAGACTCAAAATGATTCAGCTTCTACATTGTTGTCAGCCACAAATCAATATACACAATATCAATATATATATCTAATTAAAAAAATGCTCAACAACAAACTTAGTCTCTTGTTGCTTCTCAAAGAATTCAATCTGTGAGATAAAATCATAAATGTACTAACCCTTCAAATTGAATCCAGTACAATCCAGTAATAACAATTATAGTTCAAAGACAATGAAAAGGCAACACTTCAAATGGTAAAAATGTTATTTTTGCATTACTGGAAGTGAAAACCAGCACTGTTCTGGATTTTAAATTGCACCATTGTATATATATATATGTCTGGTCTGTCTTTATACATTCACTGAGCATTGTTATTTATCACTAAAAAAAACTACTGAATTGTGCTCTAACATGCAAGGTGTACCATGTCAACTAATTAAACAACTATTCATTAAAAGTTATTTGTTTTTAAAAAAAAGTCTAACATTTAATAAAAAAAAAAACAACTAACAGAAACTTCTGCGGTTGCCTGTAATGGCTAGGTAATGGTGTTCTCTAGTGAATATTAATCATGAAGCATATATTGACCAGGCACTGAAAAGAAACATATGCAAGGAATAATGTCTTACAATTTCTTATTTAATAAGTACTACCTATAAAATCATGGTGTTACACACAGTAACCTAATCAGTAACTTTCTAAAAATGTAAAACCTCATCAAATGAGTTGCTGCAATAGGAACATAAAGTTTAAAAACAACATTTTCCCCTCTAAGATATTTGGACCACAAGTAGTCAGATTACATTGAAATGCATTGATAGCGATTAAGACAGGTGACAGCAGTGGGCCTTGTTTTCAGTTTCCATGCCTCACTGCTGTCATCGTTCTTCATCTTTAATCATAGCAAACATTCTGTACCAGGTTCTGAGAAATTCTTTAGTTAAGTCTGTTGTTGGTCCACATGAATGCATCCAGGAGTTGTGTAACCATTGTGCTGTGAAATCCACTTGAGAGTACTGGCTCTGTTAGATATGGAGTTTTCCACGATGTTCTTTTTTCAAAAACTTTCTTGTTTCAATTTCGTTGAGTGACAGAGAGACAGAGCAGCGGGAAGGATTCTCCCTTCTGAACAGTACACTTTCCTTGATGGCTTCTTTAATCACCTGAAACCAATTAAAAATAAACATACATATACACATTCTGTCATTCTCAATCTTATTTCTGGAAACTTCTACAGACTACAAGCACTCTACAGCACTGAATTATTAATTTCTCACAGCTCTCTCCATTCAAAATCCTCAATATAGTATGAGTTACACTAGCATCTTGTTAAAACAGTCATTTGACAATGAAAATGTGCTGCCTTACCTCAATATTGTTGAGTGTGTTGAACTCCATCAGGTTGTGTAGCTGAGTGAAGGCCGAGTTCGAGTACTGAAAGTTGAAGGTGGAATATGGGGTCTGAGGATCATCAAATATATCAAAATCAGCGAACTCCTTCTCCTTTTCAGTTTCTCGCGGAACCCCTTTACACAAAAAAAAACATCAAATATGCGGTTATATGGATCATGAAGCTGCTTTAGATAAAGAGATTCAAGAGATATTACTGTACTGTGGGTTATTTTTATTGTAACAAAAGACAACTGACACATTTACAATGTGATAAAAGTAAACTTAGTCAGTATTTAAGCTGAATCACTTGGTAAGATGAATGGAGGAGCTGACTTAAGCACAAATCTTGTTTGTCAGAAAACTTTTGAGAGAGACCTTCACAGAACAAGGTGGTGGTAGGACTTTATGGACAAAACCAACAGGAATCCTTTTTTAAAACATTATGTGATCAGGAATTGTCAGTACAATAGACATATTCTACAGTGATATGTCTTTCTGGTATCAATTGTTATGTGCTTAGATGGAATTTTATTTGTGCTTTGTGCAGGATCACAGATGTGTCATAAATGATCAGCCTGTAAAAATAAATCTGCTTTAAAAACAAAACCTTCTGCGTGACCAAGAGTGGGTTATACACAATGATAATTGAAGTCGATATCCAAGTATACTGTAATAATGGCTACATACTCCAAAACAATTTCTCTTATCAAAATTATTACAGACATTATTTTTGTTGGTGGCACAGGGGTTAGTACTGCTGGACATGGTGTGCTTTCTGTGTGGAGTTTGTGTAGGTTTCCTCTAGGTGCTCTGATTATTTTGGTCGAGAATCTGTAAATTACACTACTGTTTTGTTCCAAGAGTGTTGCGTTTGTTTCTTGAATTTATATAATATATAAGGTAAACAAAAACTATACAGAAACTGCAGACCCAAATCTCAGCGTTCCAAGACGTAAAAAGAAATAAATAGCCTAGATAAAAAATAAGATTCTAACATTATGAGACTGAAGGAGTATTGAGCTTTACAAAGATTACGAGAAGTAGCTCATTGTTGGACCAAGGAAATACTCTAGACCCCAGGAGTCAAGAAAACATAGTAAATGTATTAAGGGCTTAAGATGATGAACAAATATGCAAATGCAAACATATTTCTATGCATAAATACACATTTCCCATTGTTACCTGGAGCCTTGAAGTTTCTGAAGTCAATATTGGCTAGCACAAAGTGGATAATTGTAGGGCAGCTTTTGTCCCCCTTTCTGGGTTTGAAGACATAACACTCCTTCAAGCCTTCCCTGTCAAACACTTTTGGGTCAATCTTTGGGAAGGGCAACTTGTTCATCCTGGCCCATTTCTCTGCCAGCAACAGCTCCTAAATAGAATAACCACAACCACCGAGTTAATTATTTAAAAGTTTAGGGGAAAACTTACCACAAAATAAAATCTAATCCTTTTATTAAATATTTTTCTTAAAAATGACAGAATAGGTTTCCTTTTAGGGTATTACAAGATGGGAATAATTGCCATTTCTGCAGTGCCTCATCCATCAGTTAAAATTATTCTTTACTAACCCATTATCAATTCAAAATAGGTGCACCTAATTTAAATTTCAGACTGATATTTCCTAATATATTGTTATTAAGATTATTTCTTGTATTGTTTAGAATTTCACCAAACTGCAGTTCATGTAGGACATAAGTGCGTCTCAAACATCAAACTATTTTCTACCGAAAATGAAATCAAAATGTAACTACCAACAAGGGACCCTCTTCATGAATTAATGAAAGTGAAATGTACATATTCATGGGCGTCACACAAAGGCTGCACAATGCCCGAGCATGAGCTGCCACACAGCTGATGACGGACCTTGAATGGAGGACTGGAGTCACTGGGCCGGGCAGAGAAATCGAAGGAGATGATCAGGTCAACTCCTCTCTGTGGCCGCAGTATCAAGGGGTATGGGAGGTTGAAGGTCAGGCCACTGTCGACCACATGAATCTTCTTGCTCTTCACATCTAGAGGCTCATATATCCGGTCAAACTCATCTGGGTCTGGGAATTGCGCAGAACAAAAAATAAGCGATTTGCCCACAGAAAAAAGTAATACACAAAAGCAAGCTTAAATCTGCAACGGCTCTACTTGACTTTCTTAAAAACGAAATATGTCAAAAGACACACTGCAGTGTTTTTTAATTACTGATGATGACTTGCATATTTCCATTCCCTAAGAACAAAACAGTCCCTGGCATTTTCTGGTGCTCTTTAATATTGTTAAATTAGTAACCGGGCCAATGTATAGGTGTTGTTTATTAAAGTAAAACATAGAATGTCAACTACAAGGTGTTAACGACACAAAACCTTTATTACGGTATGTCTTCTATTAAGATATCATTTTTTACACTCCTGACAAAAATCTGCAAAATGTAGCGCTTGAAGTTGCAACTAAATAAGGACTAAAACTGACAAGAATAAGCAATTCCAAACACTTTCATTCCTTAATCAATACACCCTTCTAAAACAAATCATGTAAAAATATTGAAATGACAAAATACATTAGAGAAACTAATCATATGTGTGCTGTACATGCTCACAATCTGGAAATTTCCTCCAATGTGGCTGAACTACAACAATTCTGCAAAGATGAGTGGGCCAAAATTCCTCCACAGCGCTGTAAAAGACTCATTGCCAGTTATCGCAAATGCTTGATTGTAGTTGTTGCTGCTAAGGGTGGCCCAACCAGTTATTAGGTTTAGGGGGCAATCACTTTTTAAACAGGGCCATGTAGGTTTGGATTTTTTTCCCCTTAATAATAATAATAATCATCATTTAAAAACTGCATTTTGTGTTTACTTGTGTTATCTTTTTTTTATATTTCAATTTGTTTGATGATCTGAAACATTTCAGTGTGACAAACATGCAAAAAAATAAGAAATCAGGAAGGGGGCAAACACTTTTTCACACCACTGTATGTACAATTAATTTATTTTAAAATAAGTGGTTATTAATTATTATTATGGAGTCATCTCCATACCTGTGACAGCTGAATCCTCTTCATCCACGGAGGTCTGGCACATCAAGTCTCCGAATGGAGAGTAAGGGAGCGTAGTGTTGAGGTTAAGGCCCAACATGAAGTTGTGCACTTTCCCGGCACGGCCCTCTCGCGTGTTAAAAAGGGTGGAGTCGCTGACCAAAGTAGTGAACATGCGCTGTACCCAGCTAGCCTGAGCTTTCTTTTGGAATTCCTCTTCTACTTCCAGGCTCTCTGTCCCGCCTAAGAAGAGGCAGCAAAAAAGCAACATCTCAGAACAACACATAAGTCACATCCAAATACCAAGGGTGGCACTTATACTTGACACTTAAACACTCAACATTTTTCTTAATGCTTGAAGAACATAAGAATGTAATAAGGCTTACAAGTGAGAGGCTACTTTGGTTGTCAGAAGCTAACTGATACAAGGATCTCATCACTGTACTGTATCACCATCACATCACACAACGTGTTTTATGTTATTTTATCATGTATCCCATAAGTGATGTGATACTAACATTTAACATGCACTGAATCAGAATATGTTAAAGCACAATTCAAACTGTTTATGGACATGCAAGTGTCGAAGGGTGGATCGATTAAATGATAGAAAAACAGAGTTTGCTTATCTGTGGTCTAAAAAGTTAAAAAGTCTTTAAAGGGGAACTGTAAAATTATTTTTATATTTCGGGATTAAAAAGAAGCAGCAATGATAAATGCATTGCAAACCACAATAAAAGTAAAACGTATACAATAACTTGTAAAACCCCCAATTTACATCACCAAATAGACTAAATTTCCAGGTATGCGCAGTGCTGTGTTCTGCGATTCAGAACAAGGCAACAAAAGAAGCAGGCTTGTGAATACGTCTCTTTTAATCCAATAGAAATATTGCTCTCAATATTTTTACTGACAAATCCAACTTAATTGTTACTCCCCATGTAGATTCCGTTGGAAATTTTCTGTTGTGAAACATTTGCTGCACAACCTGTACATATTCGCTCGATCATCCTATTACATTAGTCATTATAGTGACTAGTGAGCAGGAAGGGCCGCATCACGTCTCAATTCGTGTGAACTCTCACTCTCGCCTGTGGCGAGGCCAGGGTTTGTGGCAAAGTACTGTTGCGACTTACAGTACTTTCACAAAGTTCATGATTGTTTTTCTTTAACATCAATGAATTTATTTTGGCACTGAGATTTAATAACTGTAATAATTTAATGCAGTTCCCCTTTAAGTGATTTTGCATAGGACACCTCATATTGATACATCAGAAGACGCCGTTGCACACTGCAGGTGGGCAATGTTCACCTTTCCGAGGCTCGTCGTCATTGTCCATGCTATCCTCCCCCAAAATGTGTTCAGGCTTTATTTGTTCTGAAGAAGAGGACATGGCCATTTAGATCACAAAGTTAAATCTGCTAGAAACAGTGGTCTATCTTTATGGGACCAGTGGAGATTAATTCCCTACTGTAAAGCACAAAGAAGAAAAACCAACCTTTGTTTTATTTTACTTTTCAGCGTGGAGTTAAGCTCTGCTCGTTCGTCTGCAGCTCACACTACGACGTACTGTAACCCTCCACTCAATCCACTGACACTCATATTGCCAGAAATACTAGCATACAGTATCCAAACTAGACCGCTCAGCATCAGGGTGGATTAGAGACATTTAAACATATACTTTGATTGGATTGGATTTAATTAGATTTCATGCAAAATTATCTCTTCATAGGAACGCTTTGATTCGTCCGTTATCCCTTGCAAAATATATCCTAGTTCCTCGAGGACGTGCCTTTATTAAGAAGAGCCGCAGGAGCATGGGAAAGAAATCATAACGATTATGAGCAATTGTGTTTAAATGCTTTTTTAAGCAGACAGGAATATGACAAATAAAGGGATAAGTCTGTAAGCACATCAACTTGAGGGTTTTTTCAAGGTTGCTAGTAATTAATATCTCACATGAGTTCCAAATTTACATGGGTTAAGTTAAGTTAACATTGGCGGTTCTATAAATCGAGTACTTTGTAAAATTCATTCTATGAATAACAAAATAAGTAGATACCATATAGAGGAAAATTCAGTACCTTCCCCTGCCCACTAAAACTTCGGATATAAGACATTGATCAAACTCTTAAGTTAGTAAGAAGAAGGACCAGTTTACTCACATAGAAAACTTTATCAATACTAATGTTACAAAGTGAAGTAAGCAGAATGGACGACACTGCAGGTGTTCTGCGTTGCCCAGGTGATTTTACTTAAAAATCCAGGACATTTCTTACCAAGCTCCTCCTCCATTGTAGAGCCACAGTCATTGGAACGGGAGACTCCGAGGACTCTGTTGAAGAGAATGGAAAAAGCACTTCCCCAGACACCTGCAAAAAAAGAGTCTTCTATTACCATGTGCTAACATAAAATCTATTTATTTATTCTCTTGCAAGTAAACTGGTCTTACTGTTACTGTGTCCTTGCTATTCATTCAGTAAAAAAGGAGTCAGACTAAGTAGGATCACCTACACTTATTATAACTGACTAAATTGCACCATTCCACAGAGTACATCATGTATTCTTTTCCCAAAGACCTAAAGACCAAGGTTGAGGAATTGCCCCTTTTCTTCAACATTATTTGCTAAAAGGAACTTAAAACCTAACAGTACTGTTAGATAATTTTTTGCTACTTACTGTAGCTTTTCCTTGCTTTGCTTCTCTCAAGAACAAGAAATACTTTAAAAAAAAATCTATAAGAAGCCATTAAAAAACTAAGTCTTGAACACACACAAGTCTATTTGCATGAAAAGAATGTCTATGTGTACTGTAACATGCCATACTGATACTAATTAGCTTCACAAAACACCAAGACTACTTATAATGTGTCTCCAAATAGTATTCAGTCTTTACAAATGCTGATGATTATTAAGTTTTCCTTTCCTTATTTATTACAATTGATTGCCCCTTGTAGGGAAATATGCTGACACATTTCTTGGTGTACTGTATTTGCTCTGAGTGTCCTCTATTAAATTATCAAATATTTAATAACAAAAGAATTGAGGAATACTGTATGAGAATCCACACCCAAGACCTTTTAAATTGATTCCTGTAAAGAAACCCACATGCTAAGTTGTAAGAGCTAAGGATTCTGGTCATATAGGAACACAATCAGGTATCCATTCATCGTCCTTTCACTTTCTAGATTTCTTTTCTAGCAACCCACTGAAGCTAAGCAGGTGTGAGCCTGGTCAGTACCTGGATGAGAGACCTCCTGGGAAAACTAAGGTTGCTGCTGGAAGTGGTGTTAGTGGGGCCAGCAGGGGGCGCTAACCCTGTGGTCTGTGTGGGTCCTAATGCCCCAGTATAGTGATTGAGACACTACACTGTAAACAGATGCCGTCCTTCGGATTAGTCGTAAAACACAAGTCCTGACTCTCTATGGTCATTAAAAATCCAATAGACATTCTCGAAAAGAGTAGGGGTGTAACCTCGGTGTCCTGGCCAAATTTCCCATTGGCCCTTACCAATCATGGCCTCCTAATAATCCCAATCTATGAATTGGCTTAATTACTTTCCTCTCCTCCCCACTAATAGCTGATGTGTGGTGAGCGTTCTGGCGCACTATGGCTGCCATCGCATCATCCAGGTGGGGCTGCACATTGGCGGTGGTGGAGGGGAGTCCCCGTTACCTGTAAAGTGCTTTGTGTGGAGTGTCCAGAAAAGCGCTATATAAGTTCAAGCCATTATTAATTATTTTATTTCCCTAACATTTCAAAAATATTATTGTTTTAAATGATACCACCGATAAAAAAAAAAATCTGGAAAAACTGAAATTTTGTCTGTAAAATCAGAAATACCAGTTTTTGTACAAACAATAAAACAAGGTGAAAATGAAAATAACATACTGTAGGTTTTTTAAATTCAGAAATATCATAGTGCTCTGTAGAGGTAGGTCACTTGCTTATGGTGGGTGTTGTCTGCGTTTCGTATGCTTTAGCTGCAAATTTTACACAACTGCATACTTACACTGTACTTAATATAGTGCTTGTATTTTTATGATATAAAGAACAATTTTCATTGAATTTGTTATAATGTTGTTATAAAATGAGCCAAAATAATACTGTTTTTTGGCTGAAAAAATAGTATTTAATTGAATCGGACAATAACAGACATTCATTCCCCCTAATTAGTCTGTTAAACTGTTTGCTGTACTACTGTACATTCCTTGCTCTCTTTTGCTATAATGTCATCTCCTCTCCACCTCAGTGTGAATTCCTCGTCTCTCTGACAGCACACATCAGAAGTACTTTAAAATCTTTCTGCTCTTCTGTGCTACAGTCGGACATGGACAGAAAAAGAGAAAAACACCGACATGCCCTCCCATTCCAACTTGTGATTTTGTGCAGCGTTCCACAGCAATTATCTAAATCTGGGGCCATAAGCTCCAAAAAGTCTTCAAATTTGATAATTACTGATTATTAAGCAAAATCTTTTTTTTTGGACGTTTTTCTGACTCATTGCCCTGGGTGGGCAAACACACACTGATATAAATAGACCTCAAGTTAGTAAACATGCTTCCAAATTGCAACATCAAGTCAGTTTTCTCACAGGTGTTTACAGAAATGAAAACACTGTGATTACTGCAAGTAGGTATCCGAAAACAAAGGAGAAAGCAGATTCTTTGTTCATGCTACCCTGATACTAGGCCCTCCAAACATTCTCTTCTCATGAGTAGACTTTTGTTCTTATACAATACCTGCTGCTCAGAGTGACAGTACCCTTTATCCCTTAGTCATATCCTGCAAGGTGACTCTTACCCATGAGAAAATGCAGTGGGTTCTCTTCATATTTCTTCACCACAGTGCCCATATAAAACTTGCTTCCAAAGCGATCAGGAGTCATGAAAGTGCCATATTTAGCCATCCCTATCTCATAGGGGCTGAACTCAACCCAATCTGCAGATTAAAAAAAGATTGGAACACATTATTTCCTCTGTCTGGATATATATTCATCTCTCAGTATACTTACACACAAGATTCAGAACCTGATCCCACTTTTTGTATTTTAAATATGACACACATTTCAGACAGGTTGTGGTTCACCTCAGTCAGGTGAGCTACCCCAATAACGTTCACTTTTCGAATCGCTCCTCTCTTCTGCCTGAATTAGGCTTTGACCAAACTACGGCAATGGAGGGATTCCACGACATTCAGGAGGGATAGTAACCAAGAAGCCAATTTCTTTCACCCAGGTGTTAGTTACAGATATCTCATGCAAACACCTCATTCTCACAAGCACCCCCATCTCCACATTAGCAGCCACTCTATAGCTAAGATAAGATAAGATCATATTATTAGCCATATACAATTTCTTGCTTTAGAAATTTGTCTTTTCCCATACCCCAGCTTGCTCACCATGAGACACACGGGCACACAGATGGGGAGAGAGAAGCTTTGGGGTTCAGGGCGCAGGGTCAGCCATTTACTGTATATGGCACCCCTGGTGCAGTTGGGGTTAAGGGCCTTGCTCAGGGGCCCAACGGAGTAGGATTCCTCTGCTGGACGTGGGATTTGAACCGGCAACCTTCCAGCCACAGGTGCAGATCCTTAGCCCCAGTGCACCACTCAGCTAACAGTAGTGCACTACTCTCCTTGGGGGTCCCAGCCTCCTTGGCCTCTGGCGGGGGCTACCCCTTAGCCAAGCGGGTCAAGCTGTAACTTGCTATAGTTCAAATACTCAAAGATTCACAAAGCATCCAATTCTTGGATGTTGTCATTCCACGTGAAACACAGTTGTTTTGGGGTAACACACAGAATTTTGTGAAGAAATCATGAAAAGAAATTAAACGAGTTACACCAATATACTAAACTGAAACATAGTTGCCTGAGGTACACACGGATTGTTGTAAAAAAATAATGAAAAGTAAAATTAACTAGGAATGCTAAACTCATACAGTATGTCACATTATATGATCCTTTGTTTAAGGGATAAAAGGAAAACTCGGCATGCTTACTCAGTTTTGAGATTGTATTTCAATATGTAAACTGCTCTCCTAATTTGTCACTGCGGAGTAAAGATGAGACAGTGCAGACTTAAGAGACCAGCACAGAACTTAATTCGTCTTCATCAAAGCATGTCTATACAAAACCAGGCTAAAAATATTTTAATTTTCTTTTTACAGAGGTTAAGCACATGTGTTTTAAATAACCTGTATAATTTTTAAGAAAATCCCAATGTCCTCCAATTCTATCAAAAACTGTATTTTAGAGAATGGAAATACAATGATTAGGGTAGTAATCAGGATTGCTTTGGTCTTTCAGTATCAAATGTACCATGTTCATTACCATGTTGCTTTATTCCTAGAATTCATATAAATGTATCCTCACCTTAACAGTTTTAATGTTGTGTATTTCCTTAATCTTTTGTTAATTATTTGATGACTGAATACAATAGAAACAAATCACCCAAATCATGGTGTAAAATCCATGAATGTTATCACTATGCCTAGGGTAATTATAATATATTTAGATTATTATTTGGTTGTCAATACCAGGAATGTAGCTACTGCATAATTTGATGATTGGCAGCACAGAATTGTCAGGTCTAATACCTGACTCTCACACAATAACTGTACAAATGTAAATTTATTTACATTGAAGTATTTAGTGAAAAATATGAAGGAAAAGAACAGCAAGTAAGAACTAGCTAAGAAGGGTCAAATCATCTAACAATGATGTACAAGACATTCTGTTCATCTATTTTGGAAAGGCAGGATGACTGAGGTCATAATGTGACTGACACCATTAGCAAAATGTGAACATTCTTATCATGTTGATCTGTAGTAGTGGTTGATGATCCAGGGTGGTCATTTTGTGCCGAGTCAGCTCAAAGAACCAACATACAGTATAATCAGAAGATTCTGAGCTTTATGCTCTAAAGATTTCAGCTGAGTTTCTAATAACCTTTATTTTCTTATCATTTGAATATCAGCATGCAAACTAACCTAACTATAAATAGAGTACACATCTACAGTATGTGGGAGATACAAAATATGTGATATCCAGTTCTGTGTCAATACCGAGATGAAGCTAAGAGAAAAGTACTGTGAGTCACCTCCATGAATGTCAATATACAGTAAACCACAAATATCAGCTTATGATTTCTCTAGCTCACAACTCCATTAGAAGCTGAAAGCGATAAGAAACATAGCATGTGGCGATATGCTTATCATCAGCAAGCAGAAGCAAGTGCTGAAAAACTCTCCTCCTGCAAAAACAATTAATTACTTACAAAGTCACTGTTTTACAAAACACAGATCCACTGCCGTCACGTGCTTGTCTGCGATCACACAAGGCCAACACTTTAGAAGGTGTGACCAATCCTGGTCAAGTCCTAAAGGGCCAGCCGTCTTTAAAACTGCAGCACCAATAGAGATGGGCGAAGCTGTCTAATTGGTCTAGTTAAGCCAACAAGCAGCCACGAAACACCAGCCCTCAAGTAAAATAATTGGACCCCATTGATTTCCAGGAATTGCGATTTTCAGGTGCATCTTCTACTTTGCCTTACAATAACTCCTTCTAACTTCTTATTTTAATAAAGTGCAAGAAACCAAAAGGAAACCAATCAGCACATCTTACAAAGATTAATGATTTGTACAGCAGGAAATGGCTTGTGTTCTTTTGTATCATTTCAGAATCAGAAGCTGGGAAAGAATTCACAGCTCACCACATTCAAGCAACTAGCAGGGCAGGAACTCACATCCTTACCTGCAAACATAAGTTCTGAGACATCAGGTTTGACATGCAGGCATGTAAACAAAGGCATTGGACATTGGCCTTCATTGATCTTGTCCTGCATGTGGCTCATTTTAGTGTCCATTCTCTGTTGGGCAAATAACATACATCCCTGTGTTAATAAGAAGTATTTCTTGGATAAGATATTCCAAATCAGTTTTATATTGTCTGGTCTCAATTTAAAAATTAGCCATGTCAAGCAGCACAGAAAAGCATTTGCAAGTAATGTTCCTGATGGACAAGGTGCTTCTGATCTGGGACTCCTCAATATAGTAACATGTCACCACAAGGTGAAAAGAGTCATTTGCATCGGGATGCAGAATTAAGCTGATGAAAACAAAGGTGTCTCTGTATCTTGGTACATCTGAACGGTCCCTAGAAATACTTGTTCTGATGAACAAAGAGCATTAAAAACAAGAGGAAAGCCAATGTGAGCTTAAAATAGCTGGCCATACAAATAGCCTGATTTTGCTATTTTTATATAAATAGGAGGTGACCTTTTATTAGTTATATGATCATGATTTACTGGAAAGGAAAAGCTGAAGACCTGCAGATAAGTATAGCAGGTCAGCATGTGCATTTCAGAGATTGCACAAACTGCACCCCATTTACTTCTGCAAATGTAGTCTTCAGACAGGAAGGGCCTATCTTCCAAAGTATGTGGCGACATTGTGGCGCAGTGGTTAGCATTGCTGTCTCGCAGCATTGAGCCCGTGTTCAATTCTGGACCCAGGGTGCTATAGTTTGTATGTTCTCCTTGTGTTTGCATGGGTTTCCACAAGGTGCTCCAGTTTTCTCCCACAGTCCCAAAACATCATGGTAGATGAATTGGCTTTTGGGTAAATCGGTCATAGACGTGAGTGTGAATGTCTGTGTTTGTGCCTGTGTCAGCCCTGCAATGGACTGGCGTCCCACCCAGGGTGTATCCTGCTTTTCTTCCTGTTGCTTGCCAGGCTAGGCTCCGACTCCTCTGCGACCCTGACTTGGTTTTAGCAGTTAGAAAGTGGAAGGGTGGATATTCTATGTACTAAGACTCAGCGACAGGGTTATCAAAAATAACTTGTAGAAGTCTGGGAACTTACTCCTGGGATTAGGGTCTCTCCAATGAGCATGCCAAAAATGTCAGTGAAGGTGGCAGGCTGCCCAGAGGCCTTTTTCCTCCAGAGGGCCTCGATGTAGCGCTTGATGTGCTGTGGCAGGAGGAGGAAGAGGGGGTTGCTGCTGACACTCTTCATCACCTCTTGGTTGATTTCCTTAGGGCCTTTTGTTGGGAAGTCGGGGTGGGAATACAGTGTAGACATGTACCTGTGGCGAAGGGGAAAGCAATGGAATACCCATTCAGAAACAACCTGCCTCTTATGGTTTGCTTTTACAGGAAAACTGGGCTACATTTACTCAGGTCAGGCTCAAAGAAGTCTCATCAAGAACATCACTTGAAATACTACTGGAGAATTTCAGTTTCAGAAAATGGGTTCTTGGTCAATGCACAACGTATTTAGTTTTTTCTAGAACTGTTAAAAATAAAAATAAAAACTGTGCTGTGATCCTAGCCTTACCCTGTGTAAATTAGAAACAGATTCTGTATTCATTTTATATATTTCTGTATGTTTTCGTTTTCTATGTTTAATACGATCAAAAAGCGGTAGTCAAAAAGCTTATCCATGTGTAATGATGAGATTTGCTTTTCAGAAAGTGAAAGCTCTTTTAAGATACATACTGTATTGTAGTTGTAAACTATATTCCTTTGTTTAACTGGTTACCAGTTACAAAAGGATATCCGAGTGGTGTTCAGTATTTTTTTTTATTAACAACAGAGTTGATTTTGATAAATTGGATAATATATTATATTCTTCTAGGGGGAAAACTGTACTATCAGAATCTATATTACATTTATTAAAAATACGTCAATTTTCTAGATAGAGACTGTTAAAACTGCATTTTGTTAATAACGATTATATAGTGTGTCACAAGAAATCAGACAAAATATTACAAAAGTGTTTTCATTCTTATTGAAACCTTAAATTCAAAAATAGTTTCAGTCTTACTGAACCTTAATTAGCTGTTACAATAAAATAAATCCAGTATTTTCTTAAACATACACCATGATATTAAGTCCTAACTATAATTAAACAATTATATTTAACTATAATTAATATGATACATTATTTACAGCTTTAAAAAAGTCAAGTTGTACAACATTGCTGAGAAGACATTATCAAGAACACATCATTATCACCACAACCTCGAGTAACTTTTTTCTAAAATGTACAGACCTTCTTTGTTTCTGAATCAATATACTGAGAATTCTCATTTATAAAGAGCAACTTTCACATCGGCATCATCATCATGAGCAGACAAGGGGCTGACTTCCTCACCACAAATCTATATACTGTAAATTGAGCACACAGGTTCTTTTTGAAAAAAATACTGCAAAAAAAAGAGTCTTCCTCCAGCTCTCAAACAGACAGGAGAAGCTCAAAGCACACTCACCATGTGGATCCGGAGAGACCAGCCACATACGTGGCACAGTCTAAAACACCCGACTCGTACAGAGCCTTCATCACTCCAGAGAAGCCCACCATTGCCCGAAAGCCCCCTCCAGAGCCAAGGATAGCTATCACTGGGACCTACCAACATCAAGGAATCAATGATGTTTAACGTACAGCAGTCAACTTCAAATAAAAGAGCAATAACTAGCATCCTTTCTCACTTAACTGCCTTTAAGATATCCTGGTTTTGTCTCTTCTCTCATACAGTATAAATGTAAGAGCAATGGGGTACATAATTATTGTTTCTTTGGGTGGCTGCTCCCCTAAGTCAGGGAATGTTGCAGCACACTATGACAAAGGAAATCCTCGATATTGTAGTTAAAACGGTACCTGTACAGTACCTGGGTCTAATATGTTACTGTGCTATATTGAAATGAACACTTGCAGAACAGCGGATATCTTCAGTTTTCTCATGATACGTCTGCACCACCCTTCAACATGATAATCTGCTTCAGGCCAGCAGCCAATGTGCTTGTCTGATCTTTTTTTTTTAGTGCCAAGTTACTTCTTTTTTATCTTGTCCATCCATCTAGGCTCTTAACAGCCGGAACTGGCCACAACTCTTTCATTGGCATCATTGGACCAGTTTAACAGTTTGTGCTTAGAAAATCTACAAAAATACATTGGTCAAACTGCATAAGCACTTTAGGAGCTGCGGTAATGGCATTTGGATTCCCTTATCATTTAACTCACTTCTCTAACTGACGACGGAAGAAAACGACCTTTCTCCATTTTCAGGAGGTTCTTGATTCCCAGCATGACCCGATCCCTGCGCTTCTCCCGAAATAACTTTTCTTTGTCACAGAGGGCCATGCTGAAGCGCAAATCAGTTGAGGAACTGGGGACACATAGTACAGAAACGTTAGGTACTTTAATCTCCAGAGGAGAAAAAACCCTAGCCTGAAAGCAATAACTGGGATCATTATGCTATTCGCTTTACCTACTGTAGTTTGAAAAAATATAGAAAGGAAAACAATGGACCTTATCCTTAACCTAAATAATACATATACTAAACTGATAAAACATAATTGACCAGGTATAGAAAAGAAACTGTAAATACAAGAATTACCCAGTTATTAACTTCTTCAGATGGTGAAGGGTTTACAGTATAGGTAACATACTGTATAGGCTTAATTGTGTATGATGTTAAATCAAGCAGCATTTTTACCAAGTTTCCACTGTTGTTTTAGGAAATTACTTTTTCTATAAGTCAGCATAAGGATGCATACCTAGTTCTCCAGCACAATAAAATACTTGCGGAGATCTTATTTTGAAATGAATTTTCAGAAAAACCACACAATGTGAATGCAAAAAGCCACATTCAAGGAAATTGGCGTGTGTTTTTTGTGTTCCCCTACAAAGATTTAAAAGATTGCTTTGATATTTGAAAAGCAGAGCACACTGTTCATAAATGTGAAAAAGTGATACATACCACACCTCGATGGACATCTCCAAATACACCTTAGTAACCTATTAAAACAAAATATACTGGAGTTATTGAAATGCGATGTTACTATTTAGTATATAAACCATTCAGTCACAAAGCATGAAAAAAAACAATGAATGTTAAAAAATGTTTTGAGCAATAAAAGTTAAATCATAATATTTACTTTTCATCTTGTACCTCAAGACACAAATTGTAAATCTTCAGTGAAATAATATTTATCCATACGCTATAGCTAATTTCACGTTAAGGTAAACTAAAAAGGAAAAAAACGTACAATTAAAAAAATCAAATGCAACAATTTAAATTAGCACTCAACTGGATTCAAGATGAAAGAGTATAGAAGTATTTTTATACTCTATATACCTCTAATAAAATTGGGCAAAGAGTTCAGTCACAGCTCTGGGCCTGTAACAAAAGACCTTATTTTTACTGACTAAGTTTCAAAACAAAGAAGAAAAATAAAACATCCTATAGAAGAAAGAATGCACAGACACACACACAAAGGGAATGAGAGTTCACACATTAAGGTAAAAAAAAAAACAGAAAAGAGGAGCTCATTAAACAAATTCTTCAGACAAGAGAAATCATCTATCCTTGCTGTCACACGTTTGGAGCAGCAAAATGTAACTGAAGCTGAATTTTTTCATAAGGGTAGTTTCTGCAAATTATTATGCCCCAGTGTGAACTAACAGTGGGGCCACCATATGCCTTGATGTTTACTGGAACACTCCATCACAGGATGGGATTTTACAACTGCACCTAAAATCTAAAGAGCCCAATGTGACAATAAGCATCATGCCTTGGTTAAATGATAATCAGTTGCATTGTGTGAATCAATATCTTACTTTGCCAATGAGGAATGGAACCAGGTCTGTTTGTCCCACTTTGATTCTTGAGATGGGAAATGAAGCAGTACCTAGAGTCTCGTCCATAACATAGTTGGCATCCATTAAGGTTATCTGAATTGAGAAGAAAAAGGTCAAATAACACACAGAATTAATACATTTAGAAGGTTAAATCTGAGTTACATCTTGAAACTATTACCCAGACAAATACAATCCCTGAAAACTATTCCCTTAATTTTTAAAATATTATTTTTAATTTAGTCTGATGTTTATACCTCCTAATAGCACTCTGTAGCAGGTCCTTTATAAAAAAGGTACAGTACTGTGAAAAGGAAATTGCTGCAATAGGACATAGGAAGGAGTGTTTTCTCCATAAAATGTAATTGGAATGATTGATGAGGATGTAGTAGCAACATTAAGAGCACTGCAGCTGTTCCACATTAAAATTAAAGTGGTAGTTGTACTGTAGCTTTAAATGTGATTTTTGTGATATTTTACAAATGATTTTACATAATAATACACAGAACTAAATCAAGGACAATAATTCAAATAATACAAAATTCAAGGAAGCACAAGGTGTTGACAGATTAAAACAAAATTGATGGCATGCTTCATGGGTAAATGTCAGACTTTCACCTCGAGCACATTCTCTTGATTGGGATCCAAAATAAACTCAAACGTCTCATTCCACTTCGGATTCACATCATTGTTTATGTGCCTTGTCCGTTTTCTGCTTTCTGGAGCTGAGGGAATGAACAGTTCCACGTAGGGGTCTGGAGTATCAACTGCAGTCACAAAAAATTAAAAACATTTTTTTGTTCACTTGAAGTCTTCGAAGCACTGGTTCACTCACAGTATGTGGGGGCTGGGGTAAGGCACAACGCATTTTAAAAAGCCTTGTCATGGTTTTAAACATGCCATTGTCAAAGACACGCAATTCCAAAACAAATTTTAGCAAAATAAAAAGATTAAAAATGTAGCTTGATAAAATTAAAGAAGAGACCAGAATCTGGGGGTTAACTGGGTAAAATCCCAATTTCAACCATTTGCCTTAATACAGTGTAAAAATACAAATTTTTAAAGAACACGGGCTTGAATCAGATCTTTTGATCTAAAGCTTTTAACACTAGTCCGGGGGTGGCAAACCAGTTTTAAGTAATCAGAGGTTCTTCTCATGCATTTCAAAAGAACTGGCTCATCTAGTATTTGTCAATTAGTTTCCCTGCAATAAAGGGTGAAACATCATTAGTCCAATTGACTATGTTCCTATTCTACAAATGAATGTCCATCACACTAAGAACCAGAACTGAGGCTGAATGAACTCATGTACACAGAGCTTGTTTCTCATTTCCTGCATCTGTCCTCAAGTTGTAAATATTTAGTTTAAGTTGATTGAAAAAAAAAATGCTGTACTTGAGAGATTATAAATAAACAAATGCATATGCCATTAATAGACGTGCAAATACGAACAACCCTCATCAATCCATTATTATTAAAACAGCAAAAAAGTATTTGGTATAAACTACAACATGGTTTTCCCACAAACAACTGATTACAATACTTGTTAAAAACGTCTTTCCCTGTTTTTGGAGCTCCCATTTTCTTGTATCTGTACTTTTTCTTAGTCGTGAAAATAAAGCAGTGTCTTGTCATGACTGAGATGCACATGCTTGGCCTTAATTGATAACTGCTCATTTTACTGTATCTCTTCGATGGCCAAGATCGCATTGTATGATAGTGGCCCTGCTGCTATTTCCTTTGTTACAACACAGTAGATCAATGCACTAGGCTGATAACAGTACAACACAGCCCAATGTTAGCTCAAAAACCACATGGCATTATTTTGCTACAGGTGGTTTTGATGCCCTTCAAAAAAATCTTATTTTAAGTATAAAGTTATTCAGACCTGAAAACAGACTGGATTTTCAAGATCAGCATGACTGCTAAATTAACAAGCCGTTTGGGAAATACCTGAAACAAAAAAATGCTGTTGTGTAATCTTTTGAGAAAATAACCCAAGAACTAGGCATGATGTTTTCTGCCTTTGAAGCAATGAACAGACTTACGTAAACAACTAATTGCCGTTTACTGCCGTCAAGTCACATTCCATCGTGCTGGAGAAAATAAAAGGCACAAATGGAAGGGCCTGCAAGTTTTAAATGATCGTAATGGCCTATGGAGCTGCTTTGTGATGTGCTGATTATCACCCGATTGCACCGTCATCAGTCTGTATAGCCAGGAATGGCAAGTGTCAGCTTGCATCTGTCATTTCTGGATTCAAAACAACTGCTGCCAGCTAGCCCAGAAACTGAAGAGTTAACATCTGCAGTGCTGATGCCTTTACATACTGTGGCAGCTGCAAAGACAGATACAGCTATTTAAAAAAAAAAAATTACTCAATCATTGCTGATTAAAATCAGGGGAAAAACACACAGCGCATCGAGGTCATGAATCAAGAAGGGGGGTTTCTTTGGTTTCTTTTATCTAGAAATGACATAGCAGTTAATTAATAGGACGGCATTTGCTTTCCTTTCAGATGCAACACATAATGTAGAAAATATTTAAAATAACGTCACCAAGCCTTTGCCTGAGAGGCTGGTTTGAACTAGGGGCTACAATACCACTCAGAACTACTGTACTAAGCACTACAAATGAATGCATGGTACAGGATTTCGCCCAGTTACTCCTAAACTTGATTTGACACTTGCTTACGACAGGGGTCTTTAAATAAGTGCTCGTTGGGGATAAGCCTTGTATATAAAGACAGAAGGGAGTGTTAAAACAATAATAAATTATAAAGCTATTTCATCGCCTCTACATTCTGGACTGTTTTAGATCGATACACAAATCGATCTTCCTGGTGACACATGCAGTTGTCGAAAATGTGGGCTCGGTGAACTTAAACGTAAGCGTTCTTGAACAGTTTAAGGCTCGCTCAGTTGTCTTTCATCGTCGGCTGCAGTTTTTAAGGATAGATACTGTGTCTTTAAGGCTGACAGTGCTCTGGCTCCACCTTTGAGCAGTAAAGCCCGAATCCAGGACTGAAATTTCTAAGCAAGCACCAGGCCAGCTGTGGAGAGAGGCCAGAGTGGGGGCAGATATGAAGCAGATGAAACAAAGGCCAAGACCAGGCAATCGCTGCCAAAGATTGAATGTGATCATTACCATGGCGCTGATCAGACAAAAGCAAACAAACTAGTCAAAACATTGAAATAATCTGACCCAAAAGGTCGGTGGACCGTTTTGAGGTGAATGGAGAGGAGAGTCTCTGTGAGATCTTTGCACTTCAAAGCACTACACCTTGATGATGTGATGTTCACAGGTGAAATGAGAGTCAAGTAGTAAATATACAAAATCGGGGTCCCTGGAGTTGAGCTGTTTATTTGTAGTTATTGGACACACACGAAGAGTCGGAATATGTCAATATGTTTCTGAGTACATACGCAAATCGCCAAGGGCTCCTTTGGTGACATTCTCAGCTCGTACCACTGTCACTCTGAACTTGTGCGAATACTGGTGCTCCACCTGTAAAACAAAAACAAAAAACTCCCTTTTTGCAAAAAACTGGCATCTTTTTAGGATTAATACTGAATCTTGTTTCACACGCTACGGCCCCTAAAGTGAATACACTGATTCATAATGTTACCAATTATTATGTATGACAAACACAGAAACTCCCGTAACTCATAAACATAATACACACTGCCCAGGAAATAGTAAAATGTAAATACAGATTAAAGATTAAGAATAGACTGAATAGATTAAGATTAAAAAGGGTTTTTGAAAGAATAGGAATTAAACCATGTAATTTAAGAATAAGTCACAGAACAGCATGTACTGATATTGTTTATAGCATTACCTGACAAAAAGTAGTCGAAACAATGTCAATCCCATTGTTGTAAAAACAAATTAACTAAAAAGCTTTTAAGCCATTAATAAATATGAATATGGAAGATAAATAATACAATGTACAATAGTCACACACCTTAAAAGCAATACTACCTCTGACACTGGAGGGTGTAGCACAATAAAACATAAACTTCCAATAGCCTTTATCAAATATACTGTAGCTTGTTTTAGAGATCTCAGCAACTTCATTCAAGTACTGTACATGATAGGCTTCTATTCTTGTATGTTTCACAATTTGCTACTACTGTTTCCTCCAGAGACAACTCTCACTATTTCCCTGGACAAACTAATGTAATTTGTTGAGAATGAAAAGCAATGGGGTAGTGTTTGCTGGGATCTGTGTATTGTAAAGAAAATAAAAGCCTGAGTTTTTAGTCTGCAGTATAAAATGAGATCAAACAATGACATCAAATATCAGCGGTCACCAACATTCAGATTGCATCGTTTGGCTTTTGCAAAGCAAATCAGAGATATGGTCTCTTATGAAAAAGCATCAGGTGGTGTTGAAAAAAAGCTTTCTTTAGCTTTGACAATCACTTTACAGAGGGAAATGTGCTTTAGACCCGCCAGGCTGTATCCAGGACATACAAGCGGTAGGCCTGCATATTTTACTGTACTGAAGCAGCTACTGTTCTACAAAAGGCAAAATCACAATAAAGAAAAATGATTAGTGTCAGAGCATTTAAATAAACAATAAGGAACTCCGGTTCTCAGAAATTAGAATGAGCTTTGGTCTTTAGCTGAAAGAAATTGTAACTGGTTTGCCTGTGTCACCATGAAGCATGCAAATTGCATCATATTGGCTTCAGTGTGTATAAACAATAGTCCAAAACACAGTTCTGTTATAAACCACTGAGGTGATGATTTGAGGAGATTAGTGTGCCAGCTGCATTCTACAGCAACCTCTGATTGTTTAGGACAACTACGACTCATAGCATACCATAACAAGTTGCATTTATATATACACAATGCAAAGCATTGCAATGTTTAGATGTCAGATAAATTGATTTAATCAAATAAATCTTTTAGACAAAGATATCAAACAAATTCACATTAAAATAATTATGATAAGTTTTCAGAAACTTAAAATATGATACACTGTAAAAAAGAAAACATAAACAGGCAGAGAGGTTTAGCAAATACTGTGAAACATGGATTAATTTTATCTCCCCACTGAGACCTGACTTCAGTTTATGAGAGAATATACAGTAATATTTCTGGGAGGACTATTTTGTTGTTTGTTGTGTTTCTCATTAAACAATTGTATTTCCTTGTATAACCCCCCATATCTGCTGGCATAATGTAAATCGTTTATTTTATACGAATATATAAAGATAATGTAACAGAAAGGAAAGATAAAGGCAATCTTTTATTTTACTGTTCTGGACGCGTTCTGTTTGTAAATCTTTTCATCACAAAATAAAAAGTTGAAAAAAATAAGAGTGATCTCGTAAGAACTCTCTGAGCACTGGCCCATTCCTGGCATCATTGACTCATAGATCTAATCAGCCAGTGGGCAAACTGCTGTGGGTGGTTCTGCTTGACGTGTTCCAACAGTCACCCTTTGGTGGCATTAGCAAGTGTGTACCACCAATGTGGTCCTAGGTCAGGAGAAAAATCGAGCTACACAGGACTTCAGCATTGTATCTTCGAAGTTGTGCTACTGTAAATTTTGATATGGGGTGGCCTTGCACTCCCTGCTTGAGACTGCCTTCCATGAATGCAAAAGTACTGACTGACTACAGTTTTATCAATATAAGAGATCACTTTATTGGCCATATACAATTTTTTTGTATTAGGAATTTGTCTTTTCGCATACCCCAGCTTGCTCTCCATGAGACACACAGACACACAGACTGGGAAAAAGAAGCTTGGGGTCAGAGCACAGGGCCAGCCATATACTGTATACAGCGCCCCTGGAGCAGTTGGGGTTAAGGGCCTTACTCAGGAGCCACAGGATTTGAACCGGCAACCTTCAGCCACAGGCGCAGATCCTTAGCCACAGTGCCACCGCACCGCTCAATGTACTGTATCACTGAGTGCTAATGCAGCCTGCATTAAAGTCATTTTTGTGTTTTAGTGAAGAAGATCCTCTGATTTCCAGGACATTGCTCCTCAAAGAGATAATTTCTTTGGATTAGTCTCCTGACTCTTAAAGCAGGGCACCTTATTCTCTGGGATGGTCAGCATCTCTCAATCAGAGAGACAGACTCAGTCATGCCAGTTGTGACCAGGCAATCTTTATTAATAGTGTTCTTCGTAGCCTTCACTGTTCTTACATTATTTTTAATTGTGTCGTGAAGATTTCTAATCAGCCAATTTAGGTAATTTTAACTTAGTTTAAATAAACACTTAACATATGTTCCTCCGACATCACATGGCTTCAGCTCAGTATTTTGCTGTCCAGAGGACCAAGTCTACTAATTCACCACACCTACTGTATAAAACATCAATGACAATTTGCAGCGTCCACGGATGCAAAACTCAGATTCCTGTGTTTTCACTGTGCATCAGAAAAAGTATTTATTTTATTAAATCAAAGGTTTATAAACCCCTATTTCTACAAAAGGGTATGGAAAAGGTTATCTACGTGTATAAAAGTGGCGGATATGTACAATAACCTACACAATACATTACCACATTATTTTATGGTTTATATTTTTAAAAACAAGACATATCAAAATATCAGCAGAGGAAGTCCTGCACAAATGAGTACAAACATTTTCAACTTTTGAGTTTCTCAAAAGGTAAAAATCTGATCTTTTGGTAAAACAACAGAAATAATTAATGTAATACAACTGTATTGCCCAAATAACAAAATGATTCTTCATTTTTTTAAATAAGAAATTAATGAAATGAAGAGCTTAAACTAAGACTTATGTGGGAACAAAATAATGTACTATGCTTTTCCTTTATCGAGCAATATGAAAAAAGGGGGAAAGACTTTTTGACTTCTGCCAGGAACAGGATCTCTAATGCGCTATCCTGATTATCTAACCATCCATAAATCCTAACCACTTTATCCAGTACAGGGTTGAAGGGGAGCCTATCCTGGAAAGCAACTGACAGATAACACTCTGGGTGGGACGTCAGTCTATTGAAGGGCACAAACAGAAAGAAACACGCACCCACTCACACCAGGGCCCAGGGACTAGAAACCAATGAAATTCCCTGTAGATCTACGGGACTATGGGAGAAAACTGGAGCACCTAGAGGAAACCCACATGGCTATGGGGAGAACAAACAACTTCCACGCAGATCACACTCTAGAAATCGAACCCTGGGCCCCACACTGTGAGGCAGCAATGTTAACTTCTGTGCCACAGCCCATTATCCTGGTTATGAAACTATCAACAGGCCACAAGTGAAGTAAAAGTGCCATGGGTTATATAAAGGAAGCCGACCACAAACTTGCAAATAAAAGGAGAAATGAGAAACTGCAACTGCACTAGGAAGCACTTTACTGTACGTCACTGGTATCTACACCTTGACACTAGAGATGGTGTTTTCAGATTGTTGTAACACTCTCTAAGATGACAAACACAATTCCCTGAGCTTAACTTTTATTCTTGGCCCACTTACTGTATATAGTTTCACAGGGAAATACAATTAGGTAAATGAAAGGCCCTTTTTGATGGATCTGTTATAATTGTAAGGACAAAAGCAGACTTTCAGAAGACATACGCATGAAATACAGTGCAATCCATATTCAGTGACGTATTTTTAAACCCAAACCATGCCATTGGACATTAAGGTTGTAACTTACTATAATATACTGATACGGATCTATGGAAGACATGGTCAGTCACAGTCTGGTTGAGCTCAGTTGTGAGAACCAATGGTGGAATGGACTCCAGCTTCCAGAAGCGTCTTCAGGCACAAACAAGACTTCCCAACACACGAGGCTACGTGTACTCACCCCTGAAAAAATAGACAAAAGGATGTTTTATTACAAGATACAAATCCTAAAGAAGTTAAAAACATGGATTGGACTCCAATTAATGATAATAACATTATTCTACATGAAACCGAAATAATGCTTCCTTGTTGTCATTCTTTGTCTTGGGGCTAAAAATAAAGACCAACTTCAGCTTCGAGATACCACTGTAAATTAACTTTTTTTTAAATTAAAAAGTGTGAAGAAATACAAATACAAAAGAGAAATTATTCAGCATTAATTTGCTATCCTAGCAAAGTTCACATTAGGCTTTTTGCAAATGAATACTTCCTCTTTTTAAGAGATAGCAAACAAAATATCTGGAAAGCCATTCAAGTTGAATTGAAAAAGTCCCCACCCTTTTAACCATCTTAATTTCTCAGAGGTCATTTAAATATATATATAGTGTCAGAACAGGAAATGCACAACCACAGTGTTCAGATAAAGATGTCAAGAAAGTATTTCTGTGAAGCACTGGGCAGAAATACACAGCATGCATGAATGTTCAGCACTGAATGTGTCAGTCCACAGGACCTATCCCTGTGTAGGTGCCAAGCATCACAGTATCTGAACCATTATAAGAAACTAGTAGAGTGTGTGAAAGATGCATCACACATTATTCATTTCTGTCCTTCAATGTACAAAACAAAGCATTTGCATTATAATTTTGAGAAGACTCTTTTAAAATCTTTGACAGTTATCCTCTCTGGGATAGTTTAGGGATACAGAATTTATAAAGTGCTGATAAAAGTTAATCTACCATTAAAGCAAATTTAAAAAACATTTCAGTCAAATGATAATCCCTGAAATCCTTTGCAACTATAAAACTGACCCACGGCAGATAATTCTGGAAAAATTAGATGTCTATGTAAATAATTAGATAAAGGAGACATTGTACTTTCATTCCTTTGGCATAACACCAGTCACACATACTGTATTAATAAAAAAACAGTTTAGTTAACATTTCTGAATATGCATATATCAACCTTTCCCCCAGCTTTTTCTAAACTGCTTCATGGATACCAATAGGCAGTACAGCTTTTAATGATGTTTCACTCACTAAAGCATAGTTAGTCAAAAAGCAGCAGTTCAGCATTTTTATAAGCCTTTTAACAGCCTCAAAACATGGTCCTTATTAATCCAAGAGCCCCTTCAGGGATTTTACACATGTAGCCAAACAGTTGTTTTCTTTGATGAGGCAGTCTGGCAGGAATGGGCTACTAGCCTCAGTAACTAAGGGATAGCATCTTGACTTGCATGTTATCCAGAAACCTACGTCATGTATTAAACTGGCTCTCACAGCTGTCGGGGTGATATTTTGCTCTAGTATAATGAATGCTTTTTACAGTTCCCCATCTGGAAACCTCATCCTGCCATCCCTGCGGCTTGCTCTGAATTCTCCAGAAATACGCTTTCCTCATTCAGATGACAACACCAGTCCAACTCCCCCAGCGCCTTTTCAGTCTGTGACCTGCCTAATTTTCTCCCACTGCTTCTCTGCCCATTTGTCCACTCTAAATACCCAATGGACCCAGTAAGATCTTCAAACTGACCCATTTGATCCTTGGATTTTTCCCTTTCATATTCTTAGAGATCAACGTTGCAGGTAGAAGTTGCCTATAAAATTGTTGAAAAGTGTCAAAGCTGTTTTTAAATTGATAATGAGAACATTCAATTATTGGAGCTAAAATGTAACACTCACTGATGGTTTCCAATTTGCCAATGCATTGCCCCATGTTAACTAAGGTCCAAAAAGTATTTAAGTTTAGGAGGGTTAATATAAAAAGTCAGCTATGATTTGCAGATATAATTCTGAAGAGAAAACGGTATTTGTAGCGCTTCCTGAAGCCCAAGCACTGTGTCTTGAGGGAGAAGTTGGTATGAAACAACTGATCCACAAAACACATGCTAGAATTTCAAAACCACAATTTGGATTTCCAGCAGACTCCATTTGGTGCAAAAATAAAGCAACTCAAAGCTTGGAGTTACATTATTTATTTGATCAAGTTACCTGCTGTAATACAAAAGGTTGGAAATCCCAATAAAGATTCTGTCTGGTTGCATTGTTGTCTTTTATTGTGTTTTGTTTTTCTCAGGTTTAGAGGTGAACCCAACAGTCCTGTGTTTAACACTTGTAAGAGAAAGGGGTTCCGGACACTATTTTTACACAGCTGAGAATCCACTGTTAAAGAATGAGTCTTATTCATATTCTTTTGACAATAAAGTCTGAACAAGACCCTGTCTCTTATGGTTCTTGAACTGTTAATGCTATGTGCCTGCACTGTAAACATCCAGGAAATCGAGATGATAAAGGAAGCAGTCATGTTTCAGTTCCACTATATACACGTATCTGAGCAGCAAAAGCAAGACTGTCTTTTTTGCTTTCCAGTTAATTTATATTTGTGATTGTGAGGAAAAAGTCAAATACATGTATATGCAGCACTATACATTTGGTGATATTAGAACAAAAACATACCCTGTGCTTAACCCCCTGATTTCAAGGGACTGTAAGAATTAGAGCATTCAGATTAGGTAAATTTTAGAATGTAAAGGTCACTGATAGCATATGCCTTTGGAACAACAGTTTATAAAGATTATGACCCAAGGTTAACAAAACGTTTTGACATTTTGAGCAATCATTTGATATGCTTCGTTGTAGCCACTTTGAGGTGTTGTCTAAGCTTAGGACGTTCCGACTTGAATATTTTTTTTCAGCATTTTTAAATGTGTTTTCAATTGCATCTAAATTTGGATATTTTCTTGGACAGTCAAAGGCTTTCCACTTTTTTCTCATGATGAATTTCCAGTCACTGTCATGCTCCATAATGAAACACCTACAAATAAGAACAGAAGCCTATTCTTCCACATCAGAGGATAAAATGTCATCATTCATTCTGCTATTGCCAACATTATTAACATCATTAATAAAGACAAGTGCCTGTTCAAAAGAAAAAAAAATATAGATGTGAAGCATACTGTACATGCCCAATCACTGACACGTATAGGTACCAAGGTCAAATTGTTTGGTGTTCTGTTTTTTTCAAACCTACATCCGAAAATACTGTGCCTTCGTTTTATCTACAGTATATAACCTTTTCTACATTTGATCTCCCTTCAATGTCTTAACTACACGTGAAACTCGAAAATCTCATTAGAAAATAAGTATATTGATAAATATGTTCTACATTTAAAATATACTTGGTCAACTCTTTTGCAAAAAGGTTTCCATTCCTGGAAGTTGTCGGCTTCTTTGGTCGAGTTTTCTGGATACACGACAGCATTTTCCTTCACGACAAGAGAGATGTCCAGGCCTATTTTTCAGGATTTTCATAAATGTTAGAAAAAGTGCTGATGTGTGTACTGATAAGCATTTTCGCTCATGTATGAAGCCCCCATTTCCCTTTTATTATAAGCCTTGTCTATAAGGTATAAAAAACAATCACAATGACGGTTGATACATATTCACTCACTACAGTGCATTATACCTGTACATGAGAGATACAGTACATGAAGGCCCCATGAAAAACAAATCCACACAATTCTATCATGTAAAACATTTTCAAAATGCACCATCTATTCTTCACGAAAAAACCATAACGTCCTCGCTCTAAATTGTCGCCATTTCAAACAACAATATAACTACGACAACGTGAATGATTATTTTAGTGTAAAATATGAAAAAATGGGAAAACTCATCAACATACCATGATGGGTTTTTTTTTAAATCTGGCTAAAGATTCACACCGGTCTTCTTTTAATTGTGTTTTCTTGGAAAAATTATTCTGGCTTCAGATGATTATCTTTACTCATGTTCAAACTTGCTTAATGTAAAATGAATTCGTATCCAAGTATCCAACATTACAGGCTCCAAGTTTTGCAAAGCCTTGCTAAATACTGGTCTAAAAACACTAATGGGCTACTTGCTTGAATAAGCAGCATATTTTATCATCGTTTCCTCGACCCAGCGATTTGCCCTTGGATTCCAAACATATTTAACGAATTCAAACTTTACCACTAAAGCCGGGCATTGCCATCGCGTGTAACTGCAAAACTATAGCTCAGTCCTTTACTGAAATCCACACGGACCAAATGAACTTACCTGACGCACTGTGTCAAGCCATTACTCAGGCATAAATCGCATTCCTCTCTCTGCAGACAGAGCTACTCGTGTTTTTTTTAGTAGGAGGTGCCTAAAAGTTTCCTTCCTTAAGTTAAAGCAGCTACATCCGTCGAATTAAAAAAAGGAACCTTTTAAAAGAACTGCGACCTCGATTTTCGGTCTTCAAGTGAAAACAAAATAAATGCCGACAATCGCTGTCTGCAGCTTGAGTAAGAAAAGCCTTGAAAAGCGTTATAGGTCAAGAATGAGGGCAAAAATATTTTAATGGATAGAAAAATGCTTTAGCATTTAACTACTATACAAGCAACAATTCTAGAATTTGCTCCAAAAATGGCTTTTGAAAGCGTCGTTCCACTCGATTTTCCTATTATCGCTTCCATCATTAATAAGCAGTCTACTCAAAATGTAAATTGTAACACCGGCTCAGAATTGTATTCCAATCGATCCATGTTTTCTTCCGTCGGAAATACTACAAATGGAATATGAAACACGAATCAGCTGTGCATTGTTGGCGCTGTTGAATGACTTTCAAAACAGCAAAAATAATTTAAATGTTTTTTTCAGTCCTAAATGATCCCCCCAAAACATTAAAGCAGTGTTAGTTTCGGAAAAGTGGGCAAATTTTCAAATTTAAACTGGATCATATCTGGAACACTTCAGTATTTATTTACACATACTAACAGCACATGATAATATTTACTTATACCTAGAGATATTATACTAATTAGTTTGACTGTATCTCATATTGAGGAAGGGCTGCTAGTATTGTTGTGGATCTGCTTCATAGGATGCCATGGTCATAATTTGACAGCACTGTTCAAGCATACATGGTAATATTTCTACAAAACGAATACTCCAATTATACTAAAAGTGCTTAATGGAAGCAGAGTACTACCCTTTTCTCATAATTAATTTATATTTAATATATTAGGTTTGTAGTACTTCGCTCCTACAAGTAACAAACTGCAGCTTGTCTCCAGTGCTTAAAGCATTTATTTTGTGTGTAAGGGCAAGAAAAACCCAGAATTAAACCAGACGCATCAAACAGTAGAAAACACGATTACGCAGTTTCCACACGGGGGCGATGTGAGACCACTTAGAAGAGTCGACGCGCATTATCCCCTGCTTAAAAAATCTACGTCTACTTAAAAAGTGAGAAAAAAATTGACTAGTTCATTTTGTCAAACATGTTCTCGTCAGTGTGTGTGTGCTTTAGTAAAAAATGTTTACCAGTACAAAAATGTGATTAAATAAAAAGTTGTGTAACTATAGTTTCGCTCTTGGATGCCTAGATGACAAAATAAATATAGTTTTGTTGGTGCTTATGATTATACATACACATAATCGTTTATAAATGATTTGCTATTCTTCTCATAACCCAGTTTCCTGGCAAGGGTTAACCTTACTCTGTTGCTCTCCAGTTGTACTTTGACAACAGCATAACAGCGAATACCAGTTTCGCACATCTTAATTAGCACTTATCGGGAACCACTTAATGTCAATTTAGTTAATTGACAATTTAGTTATGTGTTACTAACTACGGTGTCTACGAAACCGGTCACAGTGATTCAGACGCTACAGTTTGAGCGCCTCTGCTATTTCACGAACATTGCGATGGATTACAAACGGTGATTACATCAGGCATCTTGGCAGAAAAATCAGCATCGCATCACTGTAGACAAGTAAGCCATCTCACGCACTTTCTCTGCTCTGCTTTCGCTGTCGTTAACAAATGTGAGGAGGAAATGGGGCAAGGCCGTTAACAGTCAGCAGGCTGTGGTTTTGTAACTGGAGGATAAGAGGATTACTGCTCTCGCTTCAAAATGTCATAACCATCCATTCTGACCATATACAGTCCAGACAGTTTTTGATGACAGTTTTATAATCAAGAGTAGTTGCATAACTACGAAATGCGGAAATGTTGATACAGTACCTTCTAAAGATCATGGAAAAAATGTATTATTTTAATAATAATAATGTCTGGGTATACTTTATTTTTGCGAATATATCATTAAATGAAGCTATAAAAACTGTGGATTTGTTATGCTTTACCTCTTTCTTACAACAATGTATAAACCGTTCATTCACAAAAATAAAAGGTTTGATTATTTTTTTCTGGTTTGACTCAATCATTTGGGATTTTCCCCTACTGTACACTTCTCTGAACTGCAAATGGACAATTAGCCCAGAGGTCAATTAACCATCCAGTATGGTTTTGGACTGTGGGAGGAAACCCACTGGTAGAACATACAAAACTCCACACAGGTAGCACTCTAGATCCGAAATTGCACCGACTACTAACCACTGTACACACGAAACCACAGCAAATTACAGCCAGACTGGGTCTGTCAGTCCTAAAGTACCCGGGGGTTACGCTTTTAGACAGCTGCTAATATCGCACTGTCCGCCTGTATAATTTGGTATCCCCTGCACATTTCACATTCTTCAGTAATATAAAAAATACAAAACATCTGAAACGGTCCGGTCCACAATTCTACACACTGCTAGTTAGGCAGAAAATAGAATTCTACTTTGTTAGTTGCTTTATTTACACTTAAAGCTGCAAGTCACCCTACTGTACATGATGGCATTCCCAGACCCTACACCCGGTCATACTGTGTGACTGCGACAGTTGTATTTGGTGCTTGAGTTTGGCTTTTGAAGGATAGATCTGTCGTGAAAAATGCAAGTGATACCAATTACCAACGTGCACAGGTAATATGGCTTAGGTGAATTTTTTATGCTTATATCTAAATTGTTTCCCGAAAAGAACAACCCAAATTGTCATTTTCATGTTCATTTCGGTTTACCATTTAAATTGTATAATTAACATGAAGGCAGAATCGACAATTTTACCGATGATCGCTTCTTTTCTCAGTGATCAGCGCAATAACAGGCTGTAATTGAGATGTATCGAATCACACAGGCAGCGACTAAACTACGTGCTTGTTTCCTCCTTCACTGCTGAAGATAAAATACAAAGCATCGCTTCATACGTGTTAAAAATCATCGCCCACTGCATTTACAGTAAGTCTTCCACAATTCAGGTCTGTAGATAAGTTTTGGCATGACAGGGGAAATCCGAAAAAAATGCAGACAAAGCTGTTACTCCAGCAGAGAGACAAATCAGGCGCCCCCGTGACTGAAATAATTAATGATTTCGAGTTTTGAAAGGGGATATAGATTTTCAAAGCTTAATGAACAGGATAGGACACCTGTCAAGTGATATACTACAGATGATTATTCTAATTTTGTAAGACTATCCTTACTGAGGTAAAAAAAAAAGATCATGGATAAGTCATCTCTGTCTTTGTGTCTTTAACCAGATAGACGTCATATTAAATATACACAAGCTATCCTGGCTCCCTGTGAACCAGGAGACTTTGTGTAACAGCTCTCTAAACATGAGGTGCATAGTTCCTTAAAGAGAGTGAAAACCCACAAAGCAGCCGGCCCAGATTGTGTCTCCCCTCGTGTCCTTAAAACCTGTGCAGACCGGCTATCTCCAGTGTATAGACATTTTTTACCTCTCTCTGTCCCTGCCAATGGTACCAAAGTGTTTTAAGAAAACCCCAATTGTGCCACTGCCTAAGAAGACCAAGGCAACCTGCTTGAATGATTACAGCCCAGTGGCACACACTTCAGTGGTCATGAAGCGCCTGAAAAGACTAGTACTGTCCTACATAAATTGCTCTATCCTGGACTTCCTTCCCAACCACTTCAGTTTGCTTACCGCCCAAATATAGTAGGTCAGTTGGTGATGCCATAACTCTAGCACTGCGCACTGCCCTAGAACATTTAGACGGTGTTTATTGATTACAGCTCAGCCTTCAACACAATTGTTCCTACCAAGCTGGTCCCAAAACTCAGGAATCTGGGCTTATGCAACTCTGTCTGCTACTGGATACTGGATTTCCTGACAGGAAGACCTCAGGTGGTGAAACTTGGCAATAATATCTCCTCCATAGCGATCCTCAACACTGGAGCCCCACACAAGGCTGCTGTCTCAGTCCTAGGCTATACTCCTTGTTCACCTATGACTGTACAGCCACCTACAGCAGCAACCACATCATTAAGTTTGCAGATGGCACCACTATTGTTGGGCTGATCAACAACAACGATGAGTCCGCATACAGGAGTGAGTTGGAGCATCTTACAAGATGGTGCCTTGACAACATTCTGGCCCTGAATGTCAACAAATCAAAAGAACTCATTGTGGACTTCAGGAGACCCAAAGGGAGTCACGCCCCAGTCAGCATCAATGGCACAGCAGTGGAAACTGTCAGCTGCTTCAGGTTCCTCAGCCTGCAGATCTCCACTGACCTGGCTTGGACACACAACACTGTAGCAAATTTTGAAAAAGGCACAACAGCACCTGCACTTGCTGCGGTGCTTAAAGAAATGCGGTTTGGGAAACAGTTCCTCACTAAGTTTTACCGCAGCACCATAGAAAGTGTCCTCACCAGTGGCATCAGTGTGTGGTAGAGCAGTACAACCGTGCATGACAGAGATGCACTACAAAGGGCTGTGGTAAATGACACAGAGGATCATAGGAAGTGATTCACCATCAATCGGTGAGATCCACACCATCCGCTGTCGCAATAAAGCCCGATCCTTCATTCAGGATCCCAGCCATCCCGGCCACAAACTTTTCTCCCCCCTGCGCTCTGACAAGCAGTACCTCACTGTTAAAGCAAGGACCACTAGACTCAAGAGCAGCTTCTATCCTACTGCAGTGTGCATCCTCAACAACAGCTAACTGCAGGGCCTCTGACTCAACACACATCTGCACTCTGCACGTTTTACATAGTCTACCCTTTTTTTTCCTCTCAGTCCCACTACTACATATTTATTTATTTTTTCCACAATATATTTGTTGTACCTGTTGTCTACATTGTGTGGTGTTGTCTGTTGTACCGTGTATGTCCTGAGAGATCAGCGCGATGAAGAATTCCAATGTACGTGTACATATGGCAATACACTACTCTACTCAACTTTACTCTACACAAAGTGCGACACTTGTTTTTCGAAGATCTTACATTATTGACAGTAATGTGTCAAATGTATTCATTAAATTTGGGGCCATGCTTTGGGATGCATTTAGTACACAAATTGACCAAAATTCTTAATTCACTTGGGATAACAATACCCAAGACTTACTGCAAGTGTACTGTGAAAGGATCACGGAGTGCTTTAGTCAATAAAATTTGGCTTTACCTGTTTGGCTGAGTGCTAACCTCCTGGCCATAGAACAGGAGGCTAGTAGCACCCATCAGAGTGAGACAGCTACTGAGGTGGAGATGGGGTAGAGGAAAAATGCAAAAACATATAGTATTTATGTCTTAGGTGAGAAAATTACATCAGGGGTGACTACTGCCAGGTAAGTCTGATTGAACTTCTTGAACTTTCGTTATACTCCAGTAATCCTATCTTATATTTGAATTATGAACTCCAAGTAGCTTCCAGGATGCAGCACTAAAAGTCTTTGGGATTTATGTAACATATGGAGGTTTATGGGTTTAATTCTAATAAGAATAAATAATAATAAACTTTATTTTTATGTAGCGCCTTTAAAGGGGGCTTCTGAAGGAGCTTTGCAAAAATTCAACAACAAAAAAACCTCAATATATACACAATGAAAACACATAATGAGAGGAGTTAGTAGATGTGTGTAGGGAAAACGGTAGGAGCAAGGCGGTGTTTATGTCCAGTTTTTGTTTACTGTTGAAAATTCGCAACCCGCAACAATTTTACAGCCCTATACCAATATAAATTCAACATGTATAATGGAATAAGGCTATCCTTAATTGGCAAAGCTAAGCAGTCAAGTGGACAGTCGTGAAAATACATAAGCAAAGGGTGTATTGTAAAACGTTTTTAGACGTAATATCATATCTTATTAATAATAGAAAAAATGCGTGTCTGAAGAAAGCCTGATTCCTACGAGGCCCCCTTCATCAGTCATCACTCACCCCCACCCCACCCATGACGTCACGCACGCACACGATGTCCATAATTTTCAACTTCCATAACTTCCCGTCACAGGCATGTCTACGCCTTCTCTTTCATTCATTTAAAAGCAGGGTTGACTGCTGAGATTTCAGTGTCATCCACGATAGAGCCTGCAGTGATCATCTAACTCAGGAACTTATCCAGGCAGGATATTTTAAACTACTGGAATGAACAAAATCGTTACCCTTGCTATTCTCATTTCTTTGGGGATTGCCTGTGAATCGGGTAAGAATATGAACATTATGGCTGTAACTAACATTGTTCGCTACTAGTAAACACTTTTCGATTGCAGTTTCAGAAATCGGTATTTTTTACGGAAGTTAGTATTTTAATGTGAATATGGAGAACATCATTAAAACTTTATTGGCCGCTTGAAAATAATTTTAAGTTTTGTCATTCGCGAAGCTCTTTAGACGAGGCGTATATTGTCAATGCAGTTCAAACATGAAAAACATTTTGTTTTACACAGTGCAAGATATGACTGACCGTTCAAATGATTATATATTTTTAATAAAACCAGAAAGGGAATGAATACAGGTTTGGTTGGCAATACAAGTAGAGCAACACTCATCATCACTAGGGAAAAAGCCGATGTAACAAATACTAAGGTCACCGATACCTTAATACTGCTACTTTCTCCTACTTTTACTACTGCTAACGCTGCGTTTGTTTCTCAGCAAATCCATGCTGCTCTCAACCCTGTCAAAACAGAGGAGTCTGTATGACGACAGGACCAGAACATTATGAATGTGATTGCACGGGTACTGGATATTCTGGACCAAACTGTAGCTCCCGTAAGTAACAGTCCTGTTTTGTATGGTACTTAGTGATGTCATTTAAGATTCCTGTTGAATAATGCCTTTTATATATTTTCTTCTGCAGCTGAATTCTTCACGTGGATAAAGACTGTTCTGAAACCAAGTCCCAATACAGTGCATTATTTTCTGACACATTTTAAGGGTTTTTGGAATATCGTCAACAACATTCCATTTTTACGGGATTCCATGATGCGATATGTTTTAACATGTAAGTCCGAACGCTGTGCACAGTCCTGATTTATTATTATTACAGGCAAAAGTCTGAGACTGAGCCATGTATTTTCTTTTCAATACTGAAGAGACTTTCATTGCTTTTCCCATTACAGCTAGGTCACATTTGATTGAGAGTCCTCCTACTTACAACTCAGTTTATGACTACAAGAGTTGGGAAGCTTTTTCAAACCTCTCTTATTACACAAGGACACTTCCACCAGTCCCCAAAGAGTGCCCTACGCCTATGGGAGTCGCAGGTGAGTTTTCTACAGATGTTTCTAAACCTGTTTTTTCACATTTCCAAAAGCTTCTCAAAGATTGTTTATGCTGATTACATCACAAAACCTTTAGAAAATAACTCTGCTAACTGTAGCCTTTGTGTTTTAAAAGTGCTTTTTATTGCTTTTCGCAAACTTGGGCAAGGAAACTGTAAGTTTTAAAGCTAGGGAGAAATGACTGAGATGATTACATTTCTATATGTTGGTTAATTTAGACATTGTATGAACTTTTTTTTAAGGTCAGTGAAGAAAACAATGTGTGATTATGTAGATTTTCACAGACTCATTCCCCATTCTCAATACAAGTTCACTAAAGATGGAGTCCAATTTGTATAAGGCTTGCATTATTCTGTCATTTCCTTAAGGAAAGAAAACCTTGCCTGATGTCAAACTGATAGTGGAGAAGTTCCTTTTGAGAAGGAGATTTGTCCCAGACCCGCAAGGAACCAGCCTGATGTTTGCCTTCTTCGCTCAGCACTTCACCCACCAGTTCTTCAAGACAGACTTTAAAAAAGGAGCAGCTTTCACAAGAGGCCTGGGGCATGGGGTAATTATTGTTAGTGCTTTCGAGCCCAATAATCACGAGAACCCGAGGAACAAAGGGTTTGAAGTTGAAATAACAAGGAGAAATTCACATGCTTTAAAGGATAACAATTTAACTGAGAACAGTTACATTAGTAATACACAGCTTACTAATTTACAAGCTTTTCTGGAATTACAAAGACTTGTGACAAATTGCTAGGATGTGCTCTTAAAAAGGAGCTTTTTGTTTTTTTGCAGGTGGATTTAAGCCACATTTATGGGGAGACTCTGGAGAGGCAGCACAAGCTCCGACTGTTTAAGGATGGCAAACTGAAGTACAAGGTACTGAGAACTGGCTGTTCAATCTATCGATTCAAACTACCACTTTCATTAAAAGAGCTTACTTGTTCAAAGGGGGTCTGATTAATCAGTTAGCATCTTATATAGCTACACCTTAACATAAGGTAACTTCTCCAAAAGGGAAAATCTTAGGTGAAGCTTGGCTGTAGTCAAAAATGTAATGCCCAGACAGACTCTATGGCGATGCTTGTCTGCAGAGGATGTAAAATTCTTTTGGGAGGCATGAGTTCCAGATTTAAGACCCACCGCGCTAAAGAAGTTGCATGAAATGCTTATGTCGTTGTGAGTGGCTCACTGATGGTGTTGTTGCTGTGCAGATGATCGATGGCGAAATGTACCCTCCTTTGGTGAAGGACGTCCAGGTGGACATGCACTACCCTCCTCATGTGCCCGAAGAGCACAGATTCGCAGTGGGGCACGACGCCTTTGGCCTTGTGCCAGGGCTCATGATGTATGCCACTATCTGGCTGAGAGAACATAACCGAGTGTGTGATGTCCTGAGACAGGAGCACCCAGAGTGGGACGATGAGCGCATCTTCCAAACCTCCAGGCTCATCCTCATTGGTGAGTGAGCCCTGTGTGATGCAGTTCAGTTTCTCCTGAAGCGTATCTTTACCTTTGCAAGCTGTATAATTCAATTGCTTTTAGTTAGGGGTGCCTCATGGGCACAGCTTAGTATGTTTTTAAAAAAGGCTATTTTTAGTTAATGTAAGGAGGCACATCCATCAACAAATATTATCCATCTGTCCGTAGGTGAGACCATAAAAATTGTGATTGAAGATTACGTGCAGCACCTGAGTGGATACCACTTTAAGCTGAAGTTTGACCCCGAGCTGCTTTTCAACCAACGCTTTCAGTACCAGAACCGTATTGCAGCCGAGTTCAACACTCTGTACCACTGGCATCCACTCATGCCTGACTCCTTCCACATTGAAGACCAGGAATACAGCTACCAGCAGTTTATTTTCAACAACTCTGTGGTAATAGAGCATGGCATCAATGGGCTGGTAGAGTCATTCACTAAGCAAATTGCTGGCAGGGTAAGTTTTTTTTTTTTCCCCATCAGTACAGCCGTATTACATATTCATACAGTACTTCAACTTCACTGACCTGATTTAACTCAAAGTACTCATATACTCAAATATGTGAACCTTCATTGGACCTATTGTGGTCCAAGTCATTTCTGTCATACAGTCACTATAGATTACCTAAATTGATACACTTAAAATGAAGTGCATTTTTCATGTGTTCTGTACGTATGCCCACATCTAGTCATTTTAGTCATGAACATTTCTTCACAGTCAAACTAATCTGAATTATTTGAAAGACCGTAAGAGAAAAGCAAGAAATGCAGACGTAGCTAAACTGTAGACACTTCCTCCCCTCTCCCTCAACAGGTTGCAGGCGGTAGAAATGTCCCTCCAGCTGTGATGGCGGTAGCTATGAAATCCATCGAACACAGCAGAGAAATGAGGTATCAGTCCCTGAACGCCTACAGAAAACGATTCTCCATGAAACCTTTCACCTCCTTTGAAGATCTCACAGGTAAGAAATACACTGCGAGCAAATGAAAACGGCGACTCCTTTTGTCTTTCTTCCAGTGAGAGAATTTGTGTGTATCCAATTGTTAAATTAGGGTGTAAGATGAGGTGTTACACATTCTACAGTGTTAACAGTGTAAAAAAAAAACAGCCATACCAAACCTTTTTTCTTAAAGGAAGTCCGTTGCATAAGCAATACTGAATGTAAGAGGGGAACTGCCCACATTATAGTTTTTGTAATCGCAACCTAATAGCTTTCGGAAGTGGGAACTTGTTTGCAATTATTACCCATCGTTCATGGATGTACAAGCATTGCATGATCTCATCTGTGGGGATCAGGATTAGTCTGATCAGGTCCAACACTGTTTTTTTTTTAACATAATGCTCGTCACGGTTACTACATTTACTGCTTCTCACTCCTGGTTATGATGCAACAGTGTTGTTGTTTTTTTCCCTGAACCTGTTGCAATGATTATGAAAGCATACTGAAATGAAGGGTTAAAGTGACTTCTAAGTGTTTCAAACCTCATAAAGCTGTAGCAGAAAGGAGAAAATGACATGGGGAAGCTCAAATGATATGAATAATAAAATTATCCTTAATGACGCACACAATTTCTGGGTGGCTTTTTCAGGAGAGAAGGAAATGGCGGCCGAACTAGAAGAGCTCTATGGAGACATTGATGCCATGGAGCTGTATCCTGGTTTGCTGATTGAGAAGCCTAGGCCTAATGCCATTTTTGGGGAGACCATGGTGGAAATGGGGGCTCCATATTCTCTGAAGGGCCTGATGGGTAATCCAATCTGCTCCCCAGAATACTGGAAACCAAGCACCTTCGGTGGAAAAGTTGGGTTTGACATTGTGAATACTGCCTCACTACAAACTCTTGTATGTCGCAATGTCAAGGGTCCATGCCCAGCAGTGTCTTTCCACGTGCCTGATATGAAGCATACAGGATCTGCGACAATCAATTCAAGTACTGCTCACTCTGGACAAAGTGATCTAAATCCCACTGTATTACTGAAAGAAAGGACTTCTGAGCTCTAAGGAAGGAAAAAAAAAAGAGAGACCTTTTTTTACTACTGAAGATTTTTATGTTTATTGCATTAGAAGTTGCAAGAAACATTTATTTTTACATTTAAAAGTACAATAATTATTTAAGGTCATATTTATTTATGTATTTATTGTTTTTATTTATGAGGTATTAACGTTTTCTATATTTATTTTTCAGATGTCTTTGGTATTGATGTTTAAGAAAACTTGAGTTTCATACAGAATTTACCTGTTCAGTTTCCAATCTGAGAAGACTCATTTTCCACAAATCCTTTTAATGTGTAATATTTAATGTTTCGTAAACAGGCACTAAAGTTTTTTAAAAAAAAAAACTGGTTGGACAAAATGGCCTTCTCTCATTGGAACCTTTTTTATGTTATGTTCTGTTATGTTCTGGAGTGAGTGAAAGAGTACTCATTTTTATGAATAAAGAAATGCTTTGGATAACATGTTTTAAATGTTTTTTTGTTAAAACGTTTACAAGAGAAATGCTTTTGTACTTGAACACCCCTTTAAACGTTTTAAATAAATGAAAATATTTTTATATAATTCTTTGTTTCTTCATTATTTCATCATACTAAAAGTAAATAGATAACTGTATTAATAACAAGTCAAGAGAGCTTTCAAAGCTGGATAATAAAAAATAATTAAGAACCTGTGAATGGAGGTAAAATGTATTAAAACTTCCTCTATCACCTTGTACCGTACATCATTACAGTTAAATTTGATACAAACTAACAGTTTGATCAAAGATTAATATTCTCCTAAGACCTTTTCTGTGTGTTAAATTAAAAGTTTTCTCAAATGAGAGTAGCCTTAAGGATAGAAGAAAGACATAAATGGAACTGTGTCCATTAAAGATGTCTGTTCTCATTGTATTCAGTCCAAACATTTCATACACGTTGATACCTTTCAGGCTGCTGACATGTTAGAACAGTCATCCATTCTGCTTTCGCTTCTTGTATTTTTCCAGTTCACAAACAAGTCAAGACTTGAAGAAGTTTGCACAATGATCATTTACGTACTGTACATTTACGGTAACTAGGGTAAGAAAAGCCTGCAGTGAAATGTGCGACATAAATGTTTCCCTGGAGGGCTAGATTTTAATAAAAAGGCTGAATTCCAGAAACAAAAGGTGATGTGAGGTAAAATCAAAAGTTGCCCCTATTATATACAGTAAATGAAAAAATACAGACATCCGTGTTCAGGTTTTTGTGTTGTTTACTTACAAAATCCTAATGCATAATCCCTCATAACCAAAGAAAGTGAAAAAAAATAAGTTTAAATAATTATGAAAATAAACCTGAAATTTCTACAGAAACCAGATTAGCAACTCATCACACACATCAGTCTTGAAACTAATTTACTCCCGTATGTGAATTAGCTTTCATTTACATATAAAACAGTAGCCTTGCCAGGCCAGAAAAATCCAATCCATTTTGTTCAATCCAATTTTAATGCATCCACAGAATTACTACAATTATTATAATCAAACTTATTGAAATACAACACAGATCTGGGTACCTTTGCAAAATGTCTGCACATGTTTGTAGACTTTAGCTCTGCCTTCAGTACTATCATCTCTGAAGTACTTCTGGATAAACTGAGGCTGCTCAAAGTTTCCCATCCTGTCTGCCACTGGATCCATGAGTTCTTAACCAACAGGAAACAGTATGTCAGGGTGGGTGACCGCATTTCAGACCCCGTCCTTCTCAATATTGGCACTTCACAGGGCTGTGTGCTTTCTCCTGTGCTCTATTCAATTTACACCAAGGACTGTACATCTACAGCAAATCTGTCAAACTTCTCACTACCCTGGTTGGTCTTATCCCAAACGGCGAGAAAACTCAAAACTGTGGAGAGGGGCGTTGATTTCAGGAAGAAGCCCACTCCTCACCTTCCCTTGGAAATACATGGCTTCATGGTCAGCAGAGCTGAGTCTTACACATTTCTAGGAACTAAGATTTAACAGGACCTTAAATGGGACAGGAACATTACCACAATTATCAAGAAGGCCCAACAGCACATGTACTTTTTGAGACTCAAGAAATGCAGGCTGTCACAAGCGCTGCTGGTCCAATTTTACACAGCCATAGTAGTCTTCTTTTTCTGCTTGGTTTGGCTCTGCATCGTCACACTCAAAGCGGAAATTACAGAGCATTGTGTGATATGGTGAGAAAATCATTGGCTGCCAGGTTCCCCCCCCCACAGATTTATATTTGTCTAGGATGAGAAAGACGGCGGGGAAAATTATGGTTGACCCCTCACACCCCGGCCACTCTCTCTTCCAGGTTTTCCCTGTTTTCATTTGTAGGTCTTTTCTTTTATTTTGTTGGAATTTATGTTGACAACTGCACCAAGAGAAATTCCTTGTACATTTTGTACTTGGCGAATGAAAGTTCCTAATTTCTAAGTGCACCATACTAGTTTAAAACTATTGAAATTCCCTTTAGTCTTTAATAGTTGTTTCCAACAGTGGTACTGGGGACCCCTGTTTCCTCTGCTTTTCAGTTCTACAGTAAGTGGGATGGCAAAGAGTGATGCGAACTGATGCCTCGAATTGATCTACAGTACTTTTAACTAGGGTACAAGTTTTAGATTTTGTAACTAGGGGACAAGTACAAACATTTCAGTTGACCAGTTGTTGCTCCCAGACTTTTAAAGTGTAATGTCCCAAAAAACCTCAGCGTGAAGACCTATAGTTAAATCTATCAACTTGTTTGATTTCTTTCAAAACAAGATGGGCTTTTTTTAATGATTTCACCCAAGATTCCAGCAGTTATGGCTAACACACCTGAAAAAGGATAGTCAGAAAATGAAACTTTTTAAGAGCTGATGGCAGAAACTATGCTCCAAATAGAAAACCGAAACTAGTCAGTGATTAAGAACTTGGTTGAAAACAACCTGAAGGTACAGGGTTCTCTAGGATCAGGGGTGTCCTGTGATATTCATCAACCACCCAAAATACTTGATTCTAAGAAACAATACAGGATTCTCTAAGGAAACCTCTATAGTACGCAGTAAAACACTAGAGATGACACTGAACACAGTTTCCCCATTCAGACACACCTGCTTCTATTTTATTCTTCAAAGCAGAGACTGAAATCAGATGTTTTAGATTTCACAGAGGGTTTTGCAATTAAAAAAATAATATTACGAGCCAATGTAGTCAAACCCGGGACTATGTTTATACAGGGTACATGTAGCGCTGCACGTATTAAAATAACATGCTCTGGAAGGGTAAAGAACTTTTCCTGGTTCCCATCCAAGATCTATCCCAGAAAAGCTTGACGTGCCTCCTTGCATAACGCAGAACTGGAAAGATTTCACTCTGCTGCTCCTCGTGAAAGCCTTGGGAAAACCACACACAGAATACCTCACTGGTATCACCCTGTATCTTCTTCCTGCTGATGCTCACAAGGAATGTTGTTCATGACAGTGTTGAAAGACAGGATGTTTGTTTTTTTTTTAATCAGGAATTCTCAGAAATTCTGAAGGTAGTCCATATAATCGGGACACAGAACAATGTACTATGAGGCTGAAGCCACGTTTAAAAAACTATAAAACCAAGGTTTTGTATTTTGTATGAAATACAAAGCACACAACATGGAACTGATCACATTGCTACTACATTTACCATGGTGAGCAGTCTTCAGCCCCTTGAGGACACAGAGTTATCTATTCTCAAGACAGTGAAAGAATAAAAGTGGGAACCGCTGTTACGTCTGGTAGCAATCGAGATAAAAGGTGAAAGGAGTGCTGGGCAGGTGAACACATGTAATTCGCAGTGTTTGGTCATGCGTATACAGAAACTGAACTAGCTCAACAGGTACTTGGATTCTTAGAATATGTCGCTGATTTAATCAGTTTCACATATTAATCATAGGCCATTTGCAAAACCTTACATTCAATTCATGAAAAAACGTATTCTGTGGCATGGAAGCACACTGCAGCACTGGGGACTGTTTTGAAATTCCAGACTTATGCCGCAATCTGCGTGGAGTTTGTGTGTTTTCCCTGTTGGTTTGTGGGTTACCACCAACAATCCAAAAACATGCGGGGAGGTTAATTGGCTTCTGGAAAAATTGGCCCTAGGTGTGAGTGTGCTCATCTCTGTGTCTGTGTCTACGTGTGCCTTGCCATGGACTGGTGTCCCATCCAGGGTGTACCCTGCCTTGCGTTGGTTGCTTGCTGGGATAGGCTGCGGCTTCCCCAGAACCATGAACTGGATGAAGCAGTTAAAAAATGGATAGATGGATAAAAACTGTATTCAGCCTGTGGTTTACCTAGATTTCTGGTTTGTTGGGATTAAGTGCTTCCAAGTGCTTCAATTTCTTCAATCATCATGGTTTTCTTTAATTAGCCACAGCTAACAAATACAGTAATGGCAAACAACATCCCGAAATGAAACAGAACAGACAATTGACCAGCAAGCAGGATGGAATAAATCTTTAAGAAATATGGCATTTATTACACATACGCAGTAAAGTGATGCCCATTCACAAAAATAGAAATGAAAATCCAGTTATTGAGAAGGAAGCACCAGGTAGCATTACAAGGTGCATTGAGAAACTGGAGTGTGCTATGTGTTTTTGTCCAAGTGGAATTTCTCATATTTCTTACATAATTTTAAGCAACATTTCATAACCAATCTGATCTGAGATTTATTTTTTACTTACTGAACAGTGACCATGTGTGTGTATAGTATGTTTAAACAGCCATGAGTAAATTTGTATTCATTATGCAAATAGTTATTCGGTATTTACAGGGTGTGGATTTTCTATGAAGTGATGCACTGGTGTGATCACTTCCTTATGAAACATTTAAAGAGGAAACAGGAGAACGTTTGCAATGGATGGAGGCCATTTCGTCCTCAGTCCGCCAAATGTGCATGTTTGGTCATTTATATCTAAGTAAATCTGAAGAATCCTGCCTGTCTTTTTTGGAAATAAAGTTTTGTTTTCCTGCCCAAGCTCTGTCTCAGTAAGTGCCGTAATATCCTGTAAAAGAGATTGTCTGGCTATAACCCAAATCATAAAATTTTTCAAAATCAGAAA